GTTATTAGTGCATTTTTGACCAATCACAGTCAAGTTCTCCTCACAGTCAGATGAATTTTAGAAAAAAAAGTCACAAAATAGTAACGGAAAACTACAGTATACACTGAAAGAGTTAAAAACCAAACAAAGTCTGGGGAAACTACAGTGACAGTTCTCAGAGTTTACAGAGACAGAGTTCAGACGGACTGTCAGAGCAGATCCTTGTTTTCAGGATCTCTGTCCAGTTTTGAATCTTTACTTTTGTAAACTGAAACAAACTGACGGGTATATTTGAGACAGCAGGTAAAATAGTCGGCAGCAGACAAAAGCCATTAGATGACCTTTAAATCACAGCTGAAAGCCCCGTCAGTCATCAGTGACAAAATACACTCCCTCCACGCTTTGTTTGAGTCGCTCCCCTCGGGGTGATACCACCTCTAGCAGAAAGAAAAGATCAGAAGTTTAGACACTGTAGACCTAAAACTATAAGAGAATTAAACATGAACGGATTTACTGTAAACTCTGGGTATGGAGGCCCTGACGGTTACACAAATCCTCTCTTTTGCGGTTGTTTTACCGGCTTCATGAGTCATGGGATACTCGACTGAATGTTTTCTGCTCTGTTAGTGGCAGATCTAACAAAACTAGTCAACTCTGCAGCCCAGATCTCCACAGGCCGGTGGTCCTCGCCAAGATACTGTCATGAATCCTGCAAAGAATTCTGCATTCCTGGTCTGAAGGAGCAATTTGGTCTTCAGTTCTTTGTAGCCTGAATATCGACGGCCTGTCCGTGCAGTTTAGAGTCTGCATGATTAGTTTAGAAAGTTTAGTGAGTCATCTTTGTGATGCTGATCGCCTCAGTCTAAGTGACGCCGGTTTCCAGGAACTGCTAACTGAACTGTGTGAACTGTTGAGGGCGTAAATATGGAAATGTTTACATCGATCTGCAGCACCGAAGAGGACAAGAGGTCAAGATTTACAAATTGTTTGATCATAATCTTGAAATCTGTAACTAGGCTCAAATATCTCAGACTCTTAATCACCGAAAAATGACTCATCGTGACCTTAAGAGCGGAACTTGTAGGATGTCAAACATGCTTTAAAATGCAGGTGACTTCGTGATGTTTCTGTGAGTGTAGACAAAGGATAAGAGCGCGAGCTTTCAGAAACTACAAGACACTATGAGGACATTAATTAAGACCTTCATTGTGCAAGTGCTTAAAGTCTGCTGTCAGGTGGAGAGTGGACAACTGCAGCAAGAGGAGCACCACAGATTTATGTCCTCAGCCCCTCCTGTGATCTCTCTACATCAGGATTGAACATCCACATGGACCTAATATGGGCTTGCTTCTACCTGGTATGGTAGCTGCAGGAACACGCTGCAGCACATCGCTGGATGAGCCGCCCTGGAAGTCCGTGAGGGTCATGAAGGACTCATCCGTCCCTCATAACAGATCGTTCTCACTGCTGCCCTCAGGTCAGAGGAGACACGCACCAGCAGACCGAGGAGCAGCTTCTTATATCAGGCCATCAGATTCTTAAATATTTAAAAATACATCCTCTCTCAAATGCATCAAACCCCAACAGATTTGATATATATTGGTGTATATATTATATTATATATTATGATTTGTCTTGTCTGCTCTAATATTCACCTCTCTGTTATTTCTGTACCCGGTTCAGCATCAGCAGGGAACTCTGAGCTGTCTTCATACACAATGACCACCAGCAAATTGTTAGTATGTTATGTGAAACTGCTGTCACCGCCGCCCCCCCGTATACTTCTTAAGCCTCCTGTGGTTTTTTTCTGAACCCCTGCGTGTTAGAGAGGAACTGTTGGGACGCTTTCACATGTTAACATGGTTCCCAATTACCGTTTCTAAGGCAGATGGATCTGTAATGAAAAGGTCAGCTTATTAAATCCGGGCCTGTTACTGTAAAACGCAGTAACAAGCTATAAAAGCAACATGCACTGACGTCTTCTTGTGTTCATTATGGTCCTCAGGCGTGGACACATAACTCCTGGAGTGAACGTGAAAAAATGCAGGAAAGTTTGTGTTTTTTCACCCCATACCGGCGGTTGGATGTTTTTCTTTCAACTTTTGCAAAGAAAAAAGTTCATAAAGCTCAGTGGGTGTTTTTTGAAACCGCTGTATGATGTACCGCGAGTAAACAAAAGGTCCTTCTCAGGTCTTTAATGGGACGCCGAGTCAGGGTCAAAGCCATCACGTTTGATGGGTCCCTCTGCTCCGGTGTCTAATGAGTGGCGCAATTAGCAGTGATGGACATTAATGAACATTTGACCTCAAACTGCAGATAGTTTGTGACAAAGAAAATCAGGAAAACAAAAATAAAAGTGATGCATTAAGCACTTCGGCAGCAGCAGTCACTGATTTAATTTCCATTGTTGGATCAATCAGCTAACTGGAGTTGAAGGACGGGGCAGAAACACACGCACACACACACACACACACACACACACACACACACACACACCCCCCTGCCTCTCTCTCTCACACACCAAGGTGATGGAAAGAATGGCAGATACAGTATTTAATAGACCTTATCTGTACACGTCTGTCTCTTTGTGACGTCAGGTTTTAGCAAAGTCAAATTTCAACCAAATAAAAGTTGCAGAAGTGTGTGCACACAAATTCAGGAAATGAAGAGATTATTATTGTGCAGAAACATCTACAATTCTAACTCGGCAACCTCCAGGTCTTTGCAGAAAATCACATTTTTACCTGACTACCATTATTTTGAAAGGCTAGAGCTGTTTCTCTTGTGAAATGACCTTGTAAGCACAAAATGTCAAGGACAGATAAAGAGGTGAAGAGCTCTGCATGTTCAGAAAAGTCGGCATAATGCTGCAAAAAGCAAATCTTCATTCATCTCAACTCTCTGCACCATTATGTTTCTGCACGAATCGTCCTTTCAGCCCCGCAGAAAGCTTCTGATCACCGGCATTTGTAAGAAAACGAAAAAATAAATCTGTTTATCTGGTTAAAAATCAAAATATGAGATAAAATTTTAAAGATAAATCAAAAATTTTGAGCTACAAGATTTGGTCCATGTGAAAAACTTCACGTCGTCTCACCTCTTCAGTTCTGCAGTTTAATATTCATAAGATCATGGTCGTGGTCCTAAAGGCACCAACAACAGATCCAGCAGAAGTTAAAATAATTGTACTTTAAAGCTGTATAACTTTATTTGACATAGTTATTATGAAAGCATGAATTTCTAGTTTAACTCATTCTTCTCTGAAACTGCAAATTTCTTCAAATATTTATAAGTTTGTATTAAAGCTGTGAACTTCAGATAAACTCCTGCAAATAAAAACCGTTTCATGATTTTTCTTTGCTGCTTCCTTCATTATTCAGGTGATTTTAACAGATTTAGGACAGCGTCAGTTTCCACAGGTTAGTTTATAAACCTGAGATTATATTCTGCTTCTTGAAATAATAGTTTTGATTTCCTGTTGTGCTTTTTTGTGTTATTATGGTCCTACTCCTGTGTGTGTGTGTGTGTGCAGTAAAGAGCAGTATTTAACCACCTCCAGTAGGGGGCACCATTCTCAGGCACTTTGATTTTAAGGGGGTTCTGGGTGGAAAAGTTTGGGGACTCATAGATTAGACTAACAGATATTAATAATGTTATTATTTCTGCAAAATAACAAACAACAGCAGTTCACTGATTAGTCTCTTCTTTGACATGACTGCGTGTTTTTCTATCCCTCTGAATGTCATGCTGTTGTTGTACAATGACACTAAAGGCTTTCTGTTCCTATTTCTGGGCTTCTTAATGTTAATATATATACAGTGGAAACTATTTAACGAGTCACTTTGGATAATGAAGTGTTGTTCTCGTGTTTCCTGTGTACACAACGTCAAAATATGACTCAAAAAAGAAGATCTCTTCTAAATCTCTCTGAGCCACAGAACCGATCCAAAAGAACCAAATTTGAAGCAAAATCAAATTTTAGCTTCAAAAAAAGTGTCAAAGCCAGTTTGTCGAGTAAATACAGAAAAATCAAAGTCTTGGTTTGTTTGTTTTGTGAAAAAAAGTGAAGTAATGTGGCCTTTTCTGTTTGTTTTGTAGGTTGTTTTTGAAATAAGGGTAACACTTTACTTGACACCTATAAATATTATATATATATATATATATATACTGTATATATATATATATATATATAATGCATTTATAATCCCATTATAGCACTGTATAACTATAGTTATAAACACTCATAAATGATCATAATGCTTTATAGCAATAATCATAACACATTATAAAGCATTTTATCATGACTTTCAAGGTTAGGTATTATAATGTGTTATTCTTACTGTTATGAAGCCTTTTGATAATTAATGAGTGTTTATAATGACAGATGTACAAGTTTATAAGCAAATTAAAACACATCATAAATATATGTATAATGTATTATCTATGTGGGCAGTGTCAGTGAGTTGTTAACAGTTATAACACATTATAAAACCTGACCTTGAAAGTCATGATAAAATGCTTTGTAATGTGTTATGATTATTGCTATAAAGAATTATGATCATTTATAAGTGTTTATAACTATAGTTATACAGTGCTATAACGTGATTATAATGCATTATACATATATTTATGATGTGTTATAGAGATAGGCGTCAAATAAAGTCTTACCAAAATACGAAATATTGAGCTGTAAAAAGGCTTGTTGGCCTGCGGTTCTTGTTTATCTTTATTTTGTGTTTAGTTGATTCATATATTTTAAAAGAGGGGCAGACTCTAGGAGAGTTTTCTTCTTTCTGCTCCTTTTCATTCACATGTTTGAGATTTTTCCTTGTTTGTATTGAATGTTTTAGATATTGACTGAATGAAATTAAGTATTGAAATTAAATTGTAATGTATTTAGAAAAGCTCAGTTGGTGAATAACCTGCAGCAGACCGCTGTCCCCCTCCTCTATAACTGACATACTGTCTCTGTTCAGGAGGACAGTCAAGTCTGCTGCTGCTGCTGAGACTCACTCAGTGACCAGGAGAGGGCATCTCAAGTCCTGAAACGAGCGCCAGGATCTCAGTCTAATCCTCCACCAACATCATTCCTGTTGCTATACAACTGATTTATTCTTGATGCCACGGTCAACGGCTCTAATCCACAGCAGACTGCGCCTTTCCCCTCCACTCTCTCCTCCAAGGAATCAGGAAACATCCAACTTGTCGGCTTTGGACCACAGTTTTTTTCCCCTCCACTAATTTGTCCACTTGGTCGGTTTTCCAGTGTCTTTTCCGTCACTTAACCTAGATTTAACATTTTGGCGTCTCGGTCTTTAAAATGTGTTCTGGAGCCTCTCAGAGCGCGCGCTAAAGAGTGTCATTCCCACGGAGCCGCGAGCCTGAGTGCCCCCGTCCAAGGACTTTGAAAGGTGGTGTGAAATATGCGTTATTATCAGGCTGATGTTGTGCGGTAACGTAGGAAACTACAGGCAGAGGTGGATGCACACCTTCTGGAGCTACTCACATCTCCGACAGGTGTGCGGCCGTGCGCAAAACGGGTCTGGCTGCGACGCAAATTGCGTTTTTATCCCTTGAAAACCGGCGTCCTGGGTGCGTGTCCAACTATTTGGACCAAATGTCTAACATGTGGACCCGGGACGCATGCAACAGAGAGCCCTAAATATGAGGAGGAGTCGACACCGCGCAAATATGGGTAGGTACGCTGTTTCTCAAAGGTACGAATGGTCTGTGTTTGTGCGCGAAGTCCTCATTGGTTTGGAAAATGAGATTTCACTTAGAGCTGTTGTTGCCAGTGTCTTTGCCTCCTGCGGTTTGTGAGTGATGACTGCAGGCAGGGGGATCCGGAGGAGCTTTTCCTCTCCAACTATGTGACAGATTTAGCCTGAGGCTCAGGGTTATCAATCACCTCTCCATGTCCTCCGAACATGACTTTGGCTCTGATAATGAATGTAAGAGTGGGGGAAATAAGCTGCAAATAACCCCTCATGTCTCCTCTGACGGTGTGGGTTATAAAGGGCTGGACCCCTGACTCATTCCCCTTCATTCAGTTTGTTCTGGTCTCTGTGTTTCAGTCCTGATTGGCCTCTCACTCACTCTTTGTGTCTGCAGGACTTCAGGTGCTGTTCAGATGGCTTGTATTCACAGTTGCGGTGCCCGCCTGGCTGCTTGCGGCTCCCAGCAGCATCCGTGAGCGTCCCTGCCCCCTGAGCTGCAGATGTGATGGGAAAATAATATACTGCGAGTCCAATGCCTTCCGTGACGTGCCAAACAACGTGTCCGTCGGCACACAGGGCCTCTCTCTGCGCTACAACAGCCTGGCCAACCTCAGAAGCCACCAGTTTGCGGGCCTGAGCCAACTGGTTTGGCTCTATCTGGACCATAACTACATCAATGCTGTGGACGGTCAGGCCTTTCATGGGATCCGAAGGCTCAAAGAACTGATTCTCAGCTCGAATAAGATCACACTGCTGAAAAACAACACCTTCCACGACGTTCCAAACTTAAGAAATCTCGACCTTTCCTATAACAAACTGCAGGTTCTCCAGCCGAAGCAGTTTTACGGTCTGAGGAAGCTCCTCAGTTTACACCTGAGGTCAAACTCCTTAAAAACAATCCCCATGAGAGTTTTCCTCGACTGTCGTAACCTGGAGTTCCTGGATATCGGCTACAACAGGCTGCGGAGCCTGACGAGAAACGCCTTCGCGGGACTCATGAAGCTCATCGAGCTTCACCTGGAGCACAACCAGTTCTCCAAGATCAACTTCGCCCACTTCCCCCGCCTGACCAACCTGCGGGCGCTGTATCTGCAGTGGAACCGCATCAAACTGCTGACCCAGGGCCTGCCGTGGATGTGGACTTCATTGCAAAAGCTGGACCTCTCTGGGAACGAGCTCCAAGTGTTGGACCCGAGTACGTTTCAGTGCCTCCCTAATCTGCAGACACTTAACCTGGACTCCAACAAGCTCAGCAATGTGTCTCAGCAGACGGTGGAGGCTTGGATCTCGCTCACCACCATCAGTTTGGCAGGTAATTTGTGGTACTGTAATCCAAACATATGTCCCCTGGCGGCCTGGCTCCAGGCCTTTAAGGGCAACAAGGAGACCACGATGATTTGTGCCGGTCCAAAGGAGGCTCAAGGAGAGAAAGTGACGGATGTGGTGGAGACGTATAATATCTGTACAGCTACACCTTCCCCTATCACCACCACCACTACCACCACAACCACCACTTCCCCTCTCACGTCAGCCCCTCAGCCTGAGCTGCTTCCTCTTCCCACCCAGTCTGCGGTGGATAAGAAGCTGATCTGGAACAGGACAGCGTCCCCGACTCCCACCGAGGCCTCCCCCACCATCCCTCTGCCAGACACCGAGTACGTGTCCTTCCACAAGATCATAGCAGGTACGGTGGCCCTCCTCCTGTCCGTGGCTATAATTCTCCTGGTGATCTACGTCTCGTGGAAGCGCTATCCCAGCAGCATCAAGCAGCTCCAGCAGCGCTCGGCGGTCAAAAAGCGCCAGAAAAAGGCGCGGGAGACCGAGCGATCCCTTAACTCTCCACTCCAAGAGTACTATGTGGACTACAAGCCTTCACACTCAGAGACTATGGATGTGCTGGTTAATGGGACAGGACCTTACACATACACCATCTCAGGCTCCAGGGAATGCGAGGTATGACCGTTGCCCTCCAAAAATCCATTTCCACTGCGAGGCATGAGAGGTAAATTTCCTAACAACCTGCAGAGAAAAACCGTCTTTGTTTTTTCTCCTCCTCCTGTGCTCGTGTGTGTGTTTGTGTGTGTGTGATTTGGGATAAGGAAGTAAAGGTCAGTGCATGGTGACTTGTTTTGCAATATGCTGGCTTTGTTGGGTTCCATATGATTACCCAGCTGTTGTTGTGAATCATGCAGTTTTATTGGTAAAATATGAGGCCCATTAGCTGAAACTGCAGCAGCAGCTCCTCTCTGCAGATAACTTACATACAGTCAAATGCATTACGCTCAAAGTGGCTTCATCTGTCATCGCTGACATAAAGGAGTCCGTTGATGAATCTCTGTGTTATCAGACACTCTCTTATTTATTCACAAACAAATTGCTGCGCTGCATCCAATGATGAAGAGCCGTGTTAGATCAAGTCACTCTGCAGGTGGTCCTTTCCTTTCCTCTTTCCTTTTCTGTTTCCTTTCCTGTTTCCTGTTTCCTTTCCTCTCCTGTTTCCTTTCCTGTTTCCTTTCCTTTCCTCTTTCCTTTTCTGTTTCCTTTCCTCTTTCCTGTTTCCTTTCCTTTCCTCTCATTTCCATTCCATTCCTGTTTCCTTTTCTTTCCCCTTTCCTGTCCTTACCTTTCCTCTTTTCCTTTCCTGTTTCCTGTTTCCTTCCTTTCCTTTTCTTTCCTCTTTCCTGTTTCCTTTCATTTCTTTTCCTGTTTCCTTTCCTTTCCCTTCCTTTCCTGTTTCCTGTGTCCTTTCCTTTCATTTCCTTTCCTGTTTCCTTTGCTTTGCTTTCCTTTTATTTTCTTTCCTTTCCTTATTCCTGCCCTCTTTCAATTCCATTGCTATCCTTTCCTCATTCTTTTCCTGTTCCCCTTTTTCCTTTCCTTTCCTTACCTTATTCCTTTCCTGCCCCCTTTCTTTCCTTTTCTGTTCTCTTTCCTTTCCTTTCCTTTCCTTTCCTTTCCTGTTTCCTTTCTTTTCCTTACCTTATTCCTTTCCTGTTACCTTTTTTTCCTTTCCTTTCCTTTCCTGTTACCTTTTTTTCCTTTCCTCTTTCCTTTCCTCTCTCGTGCGTTTCCTCCACCAGCGGTGGTATCAAACCCGTCAGTCATGTCAGATCTGATATTTGTGTTTTTTGTTGTTTTTGTTTTTTTCTGTATTTCTCATGTTAATGAATCAGAAGACTCGATCATACATCCTCTCCTCGTTTTCCTCCTCCTCCTCCAGAAATCATCTACTTTGGATTTTGCTCATTAGTTTAATTCACAGGGTTCAAAAGTCAGAGCGGGCTGGAGCAGACTTTAAAGACCAGCAGCCAAAGAAAAGATAAATTATGCCTTTGGGCTCGATTTCTGTCTGGCATGAGTTTACAGTTGCAGTAAAAACTGCATTATATTTTTTTGAATTAGTAAAAGAAGCAGAAAGAAGAAATTATCCCTGAAACTCTGGTGAGTTTGAGTCAAAGTTCTCCTCCTTTACAAACCTGACTCTGAACTTCTTTAGGAAAAGAGCGATTGAGACAGAAACTCTAATCGATTCGCCCCTGCTTCATCAGGCACTTTTTTCAGGACTATGTACTCTGTTTTTCCCCCCTAATGGTTTGCATCTGTCTCCCTTTGTCCAGCTGCTTTTATTTTCATTTGGCAGTGTGGTTAAGTGTGATTAACAGGACGTGTTGTGTTGGGAAATATGTTGTGTCACTGGGATCTTAGCAGCACCTTTTGTCAGGCTGAGCAGACATGCGGCGGCGAACAGGAGACATCTTTCTTCTGCGTTGTATCTGTCAGCGCGGCTCAGAGACAAAGTTTTATCTCACACTAACACACTGTTCATTTCCTATATTTCCATCCAAACCTTATAAATCATCTTCTAATGTGTTTGAAGTCGCTGGATTGTGCTATAGCATTACTTAGGTTCTTGTTTGGTCCTTCGCTGAAGGGGCCCGCTCAAATATGTTTCATTGTTTCCTGTAATGTCACACACTACGAGGAACACAGGCGGCTAAATCAGCTCTTTGTCAGATTATCTGCGGCGGAGCATTTCTCAAACACAAGGGGAGCTTGAGGTGAGATGGTCGGCTTATCAATCTTGTAGCCTTCGTGTGAGAATGTGGCACGGGAGCATTAAATGGCAGACCTAATGGGGCTTCTGCTAGCTAGAATAACTAATAGCCCATCAGAGGTAAGGAGCCGAGACTTCCCTCGGCTTTGTTATTCCATGCCCTCTGCAGCCCAGGGGAGCAGCCTTAGTAGTTAAAAATGTAATGGGATTTTTTTGTGTGTGTGTGTGTGTGTGTGTTGCGCCAAACACTGATGCAAAGAGAGAACACACAGTTCAGCAGGGGACTTTTGAAATCACACCCCCCCTTCCTCCATTTTCATGCAAGTTCAGGTTCAAGCGGTGCGTTGACGCTCTCAAACTGTTGCAAACGGCTGCAATATTTTATCCGACGCCGTATCGTGTTTATTATCCATGTAACTTGCGTCAGAATTCAGTCCATGTTGCAGTGCGGGAAGCCAATGATGTGTAGTGATTGTGTCTCAGGCTATTTGCATCACAATACGGGCAGTGCGGCACAATCCCTCCTGATATATGAGAAGCTTTTCAGTTTTATTGAATGGCACACAGTGGAGAGTGTCGAGAGGGAGGGATGATGTTTCCAAAAAATAAAAAGAGGCAGCTCCAGGATTGAATCCCACACTCTGAAGAAGCAGACTGTGAAACGTCCAGACCCGGGGAGCCCCCTGCACATTATTTTAGCTCGACCACAGATAGCGAGCACTTAAGCTATTAGCTGCATTTTCAATTAGGAGAGAGAGCTTTGTAATTGAAGCCTGTTATCCTCCGCACATGCCCAGACCAACAGACTTGGAGTAAATTTGTTTCTATAGATTTCCTCCAGCGCCGCTCAGCTCTGCGGGTCGGCCCTGACTCTGCCAGCTGAACCCGGCCGGTGTGAATTTTGATGAACACTTTGAACTGTGCACCGCCACGCTCTTCCTGTGGCACATTATTAAGAAAAGCCCCCTCTCTGCCTTGTATGTCAGCCACTTCTGTGCACACAAAGCAGCTGCAGCAGTTGTCGACCAACCAGGGATCACCTTCCCCACAAAGTGAGCTCAGAAAATATTAAGGTGAAATCCCACCGTCTCCGCCAAAGGCGATCCGCGTGCTTGGGCAGAATTCTCCGGCATTAATAAGGCGAGGAGGGATAATTAAAGCGCTCTGAGAGGGGGTAGAAATGAAGGTGCATCTAACTGACTGATACAAACGCTATCTTGAAAAAACAGACTCAAAATAATTACTGTTTTCAGCTTAACTAATTTTTCAAGCTGACAGGGTCAGCAGCAGAGTAATGGTAACTTTCTGATGAGCAACCCAGTTTTTTGAGGCACCAATTCAGGCCAGAACAAGCCTTAATTACTTATTAAGTTGTTTTCATGTTTCCCTGCATTTGCACTCAGAGTGTGGCTCCCTGTGTCGCCCTTCTGGTTATATTAAGAACTAATAGCTCCTATGGATCTCATCAGTGTTTGTATAGTACAGATCCTGCAGCTGTGGGAACATTTTACTCCATAAACATTTGCTTAATATTGATGCACAAGAATACAAACCCAGTCTTTAAGATTTCAGGAATAGGAAACAGAGATGATGAGCGATCAGATATACTGCCTCGACTTGCCAATATGGCAGCTTGCACTTCGTCTGTGCGTAAATGCACAGACGGCAGGCTTCCATCGTGTGCAGGGAGTCTGATAGTTTTCAATATTTGTTGTTTGCTTGCCAAACGGAGGGTAACCACGCGAGTAGAAGAGCCTCGGAAAGAGGATGTCATATTTTATGGTTTGCGTATGCTGCAGGACGGGACGCATTTCTGCATATTCAGAACAAAAACCGAGTTCAGGACACATTTCTGCACGAGTCTCCCATCAAAATAATGTTTCCTTCCTTATTAGTTCTCATTTTGCTCGGCTGTCTTCTTGTTTGATGGGTTAAAAAATCACACCGGCTGTAAGACTGGACCGTAATGATCCATACCTGATGGATCCACGAGAAACAGGCTTTTGTTCGGCTGTATTCAAACACAACTGCACCAACAATAAAGAAGAAGAGGCCTCCGAGAATTGGCTGGGAAGGCTATTATGCAGCACCATTGTTAGTGTTGTGTATCACTTATCATGTAGTTAGTGGTGATTCAAGAAAATCAATGTAATAGATGTTGGTGTATGATGAAGCATGTTAGTGCAGCTGAAGGGGAAACTGTTGGAGGACAACAACAAAAAAAACACAATTTTGAAGTGTTTTTTTTTTTAAGAGCAGGATTCAGACTCAGATTTCTTCCTCAGACGAACCAAATAAGCTCCGAAAACAGCGACGGGCTCAACATGACGAAAACTATTTCACCTTTTTTCAGCCTCTGTGGAAAAATCACTTCATAAGAAACTGGAAATATTCCCCCGAAATGTTGAACTCTTTCAGGTTCAGAGCGAGTCATACCTGAAGTCTGGCTCACAAAGAAAGAGTCTCAAATCATTACTAAGGTTGAAACGAGAGAAACCACCCCACACATGGTGACGATTACTGAGAGAGTCAACAGTTTTGTTCTTATTTTACCAACATACACCACTCACTGACGGATTTCACTCAACAACAACCTGAATACTCTCTTCAGGTCAAACATTAGCTGCGTTAACATGGGCGCAAATAACCGGAATAAAAATGTAAACATGTCGATCGGAAGATTCAGAATTAATATGGCTCAATTGGAAAGAAATTGTATTCCAATCAAGAGGGGTGGTTTATGCCGATCGTTATTCCGAAGTGCGTACATGTAAACACTTATTCTGATCGTGACTCTTTAACCTGACTCGGTCTTCACTCTTTGGCCTTTGGCATAAAACAGAACCGCAGGAGCCGTGTCTGCTCCTCTGGTAACATAACAAGGGGTACAAACAGCGTGATGATGTCACATCTGCACGCACAGAGCAACCTTTGACAGAACAGTAAAATAAATACACAGGAGCGCCATCTAGTGACAACATTTAACAGGGGGAAACATCCCGATTGGATGGAGTGAGCCACTGCTGCGTTTGTTGGTTTGTTGACAGCACAGGCGGAAATACAGCTCTTCTTCTTCTGCGGTTGTTTTAGCGAAATTAGACACCCTGCGCATGTCCAAATGCTTCTAATCTGAGTAAAACTTGGTGCATGTATATGCACGTCATGATCGGATTATTTGATTTTGCGCCCATATAAACAGTTGATCAAATTTTTATTTCGCACATGTAAACATGTCTGTGGTGGACGACAGTATGGTCACACAGCTGAACTTACAGAGCTGTTAAAGTTTGTTTGGATAGTTCCTTGGAAAGCAGAGGTCACAAAGTGCTTCACAAAGTAGATTAAAAGAACGATGTCAGCGTGTCAGGACCCACTGGCCCGAAAATCGACTGTCACTGCTCGTGTGGTGAGTCAAACTGAACAACGTTTAAGGACACGTCTGCGATTCCTCATGACCGACAGAACCCACATTAAATCTGGCATATTTGGATTTTCCCTCTGCCTTCTAAGATTTGCTCCCTCATGTCAGTGATATCGACCAATGAGAGCTCAGACCTCAACTTTAGAAATTTGTGACTTTAAAATCGCATGAAAAGCCGTGAAATGGAAACCCAGCGTTATCTACCAGATACATCGATTCCAGCGTCTCTATTTCTGACTCTCTCCTCACCTTGACAGTCACATTGTGTTATCTTTAACAGGACACATTGTGTTGTTGTTGTAAATCAACCAGTTCGTCCTCTATTTCTGACATCCATCTAATTTGATGCCTGACAAAGTGTAACCTTGAGAAATGAGGCTCATGTGCTGTAACCCCAGTTCCTTGATTGTCCACTAGGGACTGTATTCAAAAGTCACATACACACTCATTCAAAAAAATCAAAAACTGACATGTTCAGCCCAGTAAACTGTATGTGGGATAGTATTTCATTACAACTCATGGGTGTTGAAGATTTTAAGGTAGTCTGGCATTATTAGGAGCTGACTAATGTTGTGTCGAGTCACCTCGGGAGTCAGAAGTCCAAGCTGAAAATTACGTCACACCCAAGTTCCCAGCGTTTCAGTTTGTCGGAAAAAGCAAAATCGGAGGCAGAAATAAGATGGCTACGTCTACGAAAGTTATTTTAGCACTTGCATTATATTCGGACAAGGCAAGCGCTCAAATAACTTTCGTAGATGTAGCCATCTTGTTTCTGCCTCAGATTTTGCTTTTTTCAGACTTGGTATCTGAAATGCTGGTGACTCGGGTGTGACGTAATTTTCAGCTCAGACTTCTGGATTCTGAGGTAACTCAAACGCAGCATAAGGCCCTGTTTATACGTTTTTTTAAAAACTGAGACATTAACCTTCGTTTACACCCTTCATTTAGATACAAACGGAGAATTCGCCCCTGAAAGTGATGCTTTTTAAAAACTCAGGCCAGAGTGGAGATTTGGGAAAACTCAGTTTGCATGTTAAATGGAGAAAAAAGGAGGTAAACTGAGATTTGGGTAGCCGACGGCAGATTGTGTGGTTAAAACCGGGTTAAATCTGACATTGTTTACAATCTATGGTGATCATGGATGCATGCAGAATAGCAGTCACATTTATGCTGGTCCCTTTATATCTTTTCCAAAAGAGGGAAGTGACATTGTTGTTGTTGTTGTTGCTGCTATGTGGAATTGTGATTGGCTAACGTGGGCATGAACTTCTCTCTACACTGCCACCTACAGGTTTGGCATGCTCTTGACGGCATATATACATGGGTTAGTGTAAACGAAAACTCTTCTGAAAACGTAGCGGTGAGCACGCAGTTTTTTTTGTAAACAGAGAGGGTGAAATGTAGGTTTATGAATATAGCCAGACATGTGTAAATGTAGTCTAAAAGCCTCTACTCTGCCTCTTTCTCTTTTGTCATGCCAACAAAAGGCGTGGTTGAGTCAGTATTTCCACCGTAGCGTCTGCCGTCAATCGCCTTCAAAACACTGTCTCCTAGTTTTCTGTTTCACACAGTTTTTGTGCTTTTAAATTCGCAGTCCTGCTCCAGTCAGCTTCCCTCCCAGTTGGGTATCACTTAATTCCCTGTGACAATCGACTAAGTGCATGCTCAGCTATCCTCGAGGTTTCCCCTCACGCAACAGGATATCAGATCGTACATATTAAACCTGTTTAATATTTATGACTTCAAATCTATGCAGCCGGTTTTCAAGCAGATACCGCTCCAGTCGAGTCGAGTCGAGTCTGTCTTCAGCACCAACCAAAGATTGTGACATTTTTACAGTAAAGCTCCGAGTTAACTTAACTACCTATCATCAGCTGTAACACAAACTCACTCATCGTCTACATACTCATTTAGAGCTTCATAGACAGAGCATGTAATGATATACCGATGACAGACTCGAAGCTTTAACTGTATAATAAACACGTAGCTGGATTCTTCATGAATACCACCCTTCACTCGAACCAAGGCTGTGATTTCATGCACAGTTAAGACATCACAGCGGGATTCATTTGCACAAATGCACATAATCAGACGTCAGATTTCTCTTTTTTTTAGTGTTGAGCACCTCTCAGGCTGCTGTGTGCGTGGGGTGAGCTCTCCCCCAAACACACACACACACTCTGAGATATGTATGGTTCTGGCTTTTGACAGATGTTCCCTTTTGGAGGTGTGATGTCTGCGCCGGTGAGGAGGTGGAATACATTTAACAAACTTAGCAGCATGCGAGGAGAGGCAGCTCAGGGTGTGTGCAATAACAGCCTGGCTTGTTCAAACGAATCCTGCGTTTCTGCTGTGTCATAGTAATTAATCTTAGCATCTCCTCTTACATCCAATCTGTGTTTTCATGATTTTATTATTCTCATTATGATGCACTAATAGTACAAGCTCCAGCCTGCTAATAGCTTAATCTGGCTGAGGCTGAAAATATGATGTTCTCTCTCCACGCTTCAACACAGACAGTATTGAATTTCACTCTGGGTTAGATGTCCTTATTTACCGAACATATAGGATGAATTGATGTTTGTGTCACGATTACGGCGTCTGGCAGAAGCCTCGAGTCAGACGAGTGATAGTCGCAGGTAGATGGCTGTGAGGAAATGTTTGGCTGCTGAGGGGAAAGAAATGAAAGTCCTCGCTAAGCCGACCTCCAAACCTCCGTTTTAAATTGAGGTCAGCATTGATTGACAACATCATTAACTCCTATATGCACTTTATAATACACAATAACCCAGTCCTTCACTTAAGCCGAGATCAAATTAACGTGTCCGATGTAAACAAATCAAGTGAGTCTGTGTATTTAAGGACGATAAGGTAGACAATAAAACAACAGAGAGTCAAACTATGATCGTGTTTGTAAGCGCTTTGATTTCTACCAGAGCTCATTTAGTCAGAAATGAAAAAGTCCAGTCACAGAGACGACTCCGACCAATTCATCTTTTCCCATCGCACCATCTCCAGTGGTCCGTCCCTCCCGCAGCCTCACATAAACCATGATGAATATTTAATGTGATATTAAACTTCACTTCGCTTTTCAGTTCTGGGCCATTTTGTTCAGGCTGTGGTGAATCAGCTGAAATCGGTTGTGTGCTAATTAGGAGTCCGCTTTGATGGAAAGTCGAAATTAGTGCAGTCACTGGGGGACAAAAAAGTCAAAACCGGGGTTCGAAAGGATGCGGCGCTGGAAAAACTGAGGGTGACAACAACAAAATAAAGTCTGGAGTCATGCTACGGGGTTAAAGCTGCAGGATGCAGATACAGCAAGACTGAACAAAGTGACCAGAGCAGATTAAAAATGACCACAACTGTCTCTGTCAGAAATCGAAATATTGCTATTGAGAGATGGAAATATGAGAAAAAGAAGAAGAAGCAGCAGTTGTTGGAGAGCTAGCTGCAGCAGAAAGTTTTATTACGGAGCTTGTGCGAGTGATGAAGTCACTTTTTGAAAGTCCAAGTCAACTTTCAGGTCTCAGAGAGCAGCAGCAGGTGGTGGGCAGGAATCTACACCTCCCTGACCTGACTGGTTGTGAGGCGGACCCTGCTCGCTCGTGCTGATTGGCGAGCAAACCCAAAACAATCTTGTGACAATGGCGGACAGTGGGGAGCTGCCGGAGAAGCCGGAGAAAAAGCCATTTCCTCTTTTGGACATGACTGCCCACACTCCAAAGAAAAGATCAGAATACCGAGGACTGTAGCCGAAAAACAGGCGCCCAAGAAGAAGAGAGACCAGGCAAGAAATAGGGCCCGAGTAAACATCGGCGTAGACTTTGAGCAATCAAAGACCATAAGCGATTTAAGACATTTTAGACCAGAAGCGAGAAGTGATTTAAAGTCTTCTTACCTCAGAATCGGACATGTTTCAATGCTTCATTTGAGTGATATGAGCGAGAATGAGCATCTGTTTTGTGGGCGGGGCAAGCTGGAGCAGAGAAGGAAGGAAGGGGAGGAGCTGAGGGGAAAACCAAAAACTGGTGTTTATTCAGATCCTGCCTACCCCATCTTCAAGTTTGGTCAAGTGTCAAAACACAACAACAAACCAAGTCCAAGTATCAGACTCCAGCCTCCATCTCTGCCTCTCAATCAAACATTTCTATCTAAGGTGGCTTGTATTTCAAAATAAAAGCTCTGGTTTATAATTCAGGAAATAAAGCAACGTAAACATCAGAAATATCAAAATAAAAGCATCACAAACGTTTGATTTTAGAGGTGGTGAACATGATTTTACACATTTCTTCTAGATAGAATGAAAAAATGTTTTCTGAACTTTAACAGCCGTGGTCCAAGTCTGGTCAAACTCTTCGACAAAAACATTCAGTTCAGGCCAAGAGGTCGGAGGTCGCACAAACACTGTCCATCATTATATTCACAGCGGTAACACCTTCGTCTCAGCTGTGAGGAAAGGTTTTCTTTTCCATATTTAAAACCAAATTTCAGACCCAGTCATCGTCTCTCAGCTGCTGATGAAATACTCCTCATAAGTAAAGCCAGCTTTTTGGGCATTCTGGTGAGCCGACAGCGATAAACAACTTCAGGCAAGGCTTGTTTTTCCATGTGCTGCATTACAGTCCAATTAGCGACTTGAGAAGCGGCCATGTGTTCAGTTAAAAATGAAGCAAAAATTTTCTCCTCTGGATATGTCTGCGGAATAAACGCTGTCATTTCTTGATTCATTACATCCACCAGAGGGGTGCCTGTTTTTTTCAGATACTTATTTGGGGTAATGTGCCTTTAATGAGAGGAAAGGACAGAGGAGTGGACAGACTCACAAACAGGGAGGGAAGGAGGGATGATCTGCAAACGGATGGCTGAAGGTGGGAGTCAGACGAGGCGTTTAGAGTCCCTCATTGTCCTCACTTATTCTAATGAGTCTCAGTTTTACTGTTAACACCAGAGCGTCACTCAGACTGAGAAAGAAACCGCCTTTCTCGCCGCTCCATGAGTCATACGTTTGCCGCAGTAACAGCAGATTTGTAAAAGACGGAAACACAAGCTTCATCAGGTCCGTCCTTGAGCAGGAGGAACAGTTTTTCACTTGTTTGTTGTTGTTTCTGATGCGTTTAAAGTGCGGGGGAAATCAAAACACTGATAAGCTTTCATGCTTTTTAGCTGCACTTGCACCCTGTCATATTTATTTATTTATGTTTCTCTCCTCTGAAATAACATTTCCTCATAATTGCATCCTCATTGTTCACACAAACATTGTCCAGATGGCATAACAGAAATAGAAATCTCTGCCTACAACATAAGCATCCAGACATTTACACAACACGCACAGGCGGAAGAGAGAAGCACCTTATTTAGAGTCACACACATGTATATATTGGTCTAATTGTTCCTATTTCCTCATGTCTATCTATAATTTTATCATTAGAGTTTAAATTTATCTTGTTATTATCCTCCTCAGTATCTGGCAGCGATACCTTTTAAGGTGTTAGACTTTCATTTGTACCACTTACTCACTTTTTTTCCTTCATAGTCTCTTTTTATAGAGATTAACAGTCATCAGATTACTGCCAGGAGATACTAAATCATTATGGTGAATAGTGTTACACCTGAATTTGCTCTTCATACATACATACTTTACATATATATATACATACATATTGTTTATCCTGCATAACGATGAGAGCAGATGTCAGGACCACACCCGCTTTTAGGTGAAGCAGTCGGTTTAGGAGGACATCTAGGGTTTGTTTATTTTATGGTTATCTTAAAATTAGGGCTGCAGCTATCGATTATTTTAGTAATCGAGTACTCTATCGATTAATCTGTCGATTAATCGAGTAATCGGATAAGAAATGTTTTGCTCTCACTGTAATACTTTGCATTGAATCACGTTTGCCTCATTAAAAACCATCAGTAACACACAAAACTGAAATAGGCCAGGTCTTTCAAATGAATATTTTTACTGCATAAATCAGGAACCAAAAGTTTTACATTTTACCATGTAGTTCACATGAAACTACTGAAGGCAAGGTCTGCAGATGGTCTTTTAATTGCTATGGTAATGATCTTTGCAGTTTTCACTAAACCAGTCACAACTATTTCCAGGCTTTGGATCTAATTTTACTTGTTTAATTAATAGGCTGAAATAATATAATTCTTGGATACTAACATAATTTGACAAGCAAATGTACATTTATTCAATATATAAAAGTGTTAAATTTTTATTTACATGTTGTTGTGTGTTGGTCATTTTGCAGCCCTCTGCTGCTCATCACACGCCTAGCAGGTGGTGTATAGCATTATCACCATGGATCAGTGGCGGTTCTAGACCAAATTACTCCCCGGGCGAGCACCCCTCCAAGTGCCCCCCCCCCCCCCCCCCCCCACCACCACCACCACACACACACACACACACACACACACACACACACACACACACACACACACACAAACAAACACAAAGAGATAGAATTTTGAACAGATAGTTTTGTATTACTATGTAGTATTATTATTATTATAACAAAAAAAATAATATATTTCTCAATTGCAGAAATCCTTCAATAGAAAAAAAAAAAACAATCCTGAGGGCCATTTTGAGAGGGGCCCCAGATCCTGAGGTTTTCTGACGTGTTAAGGTTTACAAAACAGCTGCTATCTCGGCCTCTGTAGTAGATAGAAACAAAATTCAAAAAGTATTTGAGAGCTTAAACATGTGGCTTTCAAGAAAGCTCTCTTTTAGTTTTGCGAACCTTCATCACATCTTTGAAAAAGAACAAACAAACTCAAATGAAATAAAGCGGCTGTATAAATAAAAGTAAAGGCTCTGCACTGGAGAATGACAAATAATTTGTTTTCTGTAAAACAAGTGGCAGTCATGATAAAGTGTCCATTCAATACAAATGTAAATATAGAAAATAAGGTGTTGAAAGGGTATACAGCTGCCCCAGTATAGTGCCAGTACAAAAGCAGAACTAAACACTAAAAAATGAATAAATAAATACGTGGCTGACAGTGTGTTCATCTCTGTTCTCACCCAAAGTCATGCAACACTCAGAGAAAACGCTGATAGTGTGAGCCAAATCACTCCCTATGAAGAGGTTGTTCACACTGCTGGATGTTTCTCCTCTGAAGCTTCTCTCTTCTCCGTCATTGTTTACTTTACTCTTGAAGCTCATCAAGCACGTAGCAAGATCCGAGCATGAACCCGAGCGCTTTATTCGCCTATCAAAGGCAGACGGGTACGGTGATTTCACTCACCGCGACTCCAGAAATGATTAAAAACTACAAAATGACGTATCCGCGCTCCCGCTGATATGCTGACATGCGTACACAGAGCAGAGCAGTCCCCCCGCGACTCTCTCCCCGCCTCGTCTCATACAGTCTGTCAGCCTCTGTGCAGCACCTTCGGAGCAAGCAGGGGCGCCTACAGCAACGGGGGGGGGGGGCGCCAATTTGACAGCAAGAGTTAATACAAAACCGCTTTGCGGTTAAGATTTATTATTATTATCTTTTATTTTATTTTTTTGGAAGTGCTCGTGCCGCCCCCCATGAGTCATGACACCAATGCCGCCCCGGGCAGCTGCCCTGTTCGCCCGTGCCTAGAACCGCTACTGCCATGGATACACGGATGTTTGTGTGATTTTTTTCATCCACTGCCGCCCGGTTTGTGTCGTGTAGATGTTGATTATGAAAACACTTCGCAATAATTTGGAAACGTGAAGGGGGAGCTGCTGCTGCCCGGTGTTTACGGTAAATAGACGCAAACACCGACCAAGTGGACGCTTCGGTCTCCGAAAACGCCGAGACAAATTTACAAACAGCCACTATTTCAAACAACTGGGCTCATAATCGTGATGTAAACACTTACTTTCTCGCTAGAAAAAATATTATTATTGAATGAATGTATATAATTTGTCCGGTATGCAGTCGTTCTATGTAGCTTGTTGTAGGACTATTTAAATTTTCCCGGCGCTGCGTCCGGCCGGCACGAAATGCATTCTGGGGTATTTAGTATGTATGTGTGTAAACGCTCGGGCAGCCGCGGCATACTCAAATCATCTTTGAGTAGTCAGTAGGCAGTAGCTACTGCTTGAGTAGGTAAGTAGATAGCAGGCAGTATGCCATTTCGGACACAGCTTCTGTCTGTCCTCGTTTCCCTCCATGATTGAACCAAACGCGCGGCAGCGGAAGGAGCGGAAAGAGCACGCTTCTGCGCAACAGAAATAACCGTCCGTGTCAAACACCGTGCGCTGCACATGGTTCCGGATTTAAACGATTCCTCGAGGCATATAATTTGCCTCGAGGAATTTTATTAATCGAGTTACTCGAGTTACTCGAGTAATCGTTTCAGCCCTACTTAAAATACTGGTTACTGTACATGCTAAGTAATGAACCAGGACAGTACAGCACTCTAATTATTATAAATAAGAACATTTTAAAGGTATTGACTGTCTCAACGACCAAAATATGATGTCAGTTTATGAGACTGAGGGTCAATGGTCTAGTTTAATGGAGGCGGGGTGGGACGACGTTTATGGAAACTCTTTTTAAAATTAAAACTAAAAAACTTCACTTTAAAATGCTGCTGATCGTAAAAGTCATGATTTATATGTTTGCCATAATGGATTTAAGATTTGGGCGCCTATTGGCTGAAGACTCCTGAAGTCAATATGGTGGATCATCTTTGCACAGGTCTGCTATGTACGGTGGCCCTGAAGGTCAATAGCACAAATATTTTAAGAAGGGAGGAAATAATTATTTCATAAACACTTAATAGAAAATAGAAAATAATCATATGAAAACAATATATATTTTTAAAACCACAAATTAACAAAATGACTCTCTAACACGTGAAAATATTTTTTGCAACACAAATTTTGAAACAAAAATATTTTATAGGCACGAACTGAAATATTTTTCAGATATTTTAAAATTTTTTGACATCTAAATATTTTTAAAAATGTATTTCCCTTTTTTTTTAATTATTTTTGTTCTTAAAGTTTAGTACTTCTGAATATTTTGAGTTTTAAAAAAATTATTTGGATTTTTAAAATATTGGTATGTTTTGAAATGTCTATTTTTTGTTGAAGTAAAAATATTTTTGTATTTTCTGAAATATTTTTCTATAATCTCCTAAAATATTTGAGCTGCTGACCTTCAGGGTCACTGATGCTGAAACCTGATTGGTCAGAATTAATTTAAATGCAAATGTCCAACAAACAGTCACTGAAATCAGGACCTACACATTTGTTGTTCTGAATCTAAATGAAGATCAGGTCAGAGGAAACATTATTGACTTCTGATCGGAGATAAGAAGCTAAGTTAGAGTTTGGACCGAACCACTCGGACCCCTTCTGGTTTTAAAGCCTCATCAGATCCGGATTCTCCTCCTCTGACAAAAGTCATAAATCTCGTACAGCTGGAGGGCTTTGTCACTCGATGAAATGCGTCATCATATATAAAAAAATAAACTGTTATTTTCCTTCTTTTCAGAGAAAAATAACATCTTTATCCTCTTCTGTCTTATCTGAGCAATTAATACAAACGGCCTGTAGGAACTACTTAACGAACTGAGCCGTTTTAATCATCCGCCACGGTGGGATGTTCGCAGACGCTCTGGACAGATTTTGTTGTCTGAGACTGTCATGTTTCACCCTCTGTGACATTTCCAGGTGGTCATAACTTCAGGGGGCAACCTCTAGTTCCTCTGAAGGATTGTCTCACAATCTTACACGGGCATTCAACAATCCATCATGAAAGGGAAATACATTATAGAGGAGGCAGAGAAACCAATTTCCACACAGACAGCGGCCTCAACAGACCACAATGCACCACAGCCCGGTGATATGCTGTGATTCGAGTCAGGGGTGTGACTTTTTTGACTTTCACTATATATACACCACACTTTTTCCTGCCAACACATGGAGCAACATATTGGAACGAGCCGGCCCTCTCTGGCAGTTGTCGAGATGCATTCAGGGGAAAACAGGAAAACACAAAGTGAAGTTGAAGCAGATGTGTGGAGTCGGAGGAAGTTTGGGGCCCCGAAAAATAATTTCTGCCACCTCGGTTGTAAAGCACTCCTGGCGGGAAGCGAGTCTCACAGATTGATGATACATAACAGTGTATCCAAGGGTGGATTTTCCCATTAAGTCTTCAGTCTGAGTTAGAGCCCAGAAACAAAAAGAACAATTTCAGCTCCCTCTGCATCTCTGAATGAATAATTCCTTTGAAGGGAAAAAAAAAAACGTATTTGAAGAAAACTGTAAATTTCTAACAGCATCCTAAAAAATCTGAATGTGATATCAAGCCCTCGATTATTCTGACATGTCTATCAGTCAGTCATCACACGCCCTGGATTCTCTCTCAGTTTAAGCTTCTGTTCAATCAATCAGTGACACTTCGGCTATAATGGGATTTGACAGCTTATCTAGCACTTCATGAAAAGTCGGGCACCGCAGACAGAGTGAATAATAAAACACGAAAATACGAGACGTCGTGTTTTATGCTTTTTTATGGCCACTGAAGACACGTCAATTTTTCAACTCAGCGTGAAGCAGCTACTGCCTATTTAGCTCTTGATTCTATTATGATTCATTTAATTAGGGTTATTAAGTTAATTTAACCGAGATGCCGCAAAGCTCTGCAGACTGTGTCACTTCCACTGACTCGGGATGATAGTTAACGGGGAAGAAAGTGTCGTCTTTGGCACATGACGTGTCCCAGTGAGTGAGTCGGTGGATGGTAGCGTGTATCTGCACACTCCTCTGCAAAACCAAAAAAAAAAAAAAAAACACAGTAGGATTTTCTCTTATCTCTGTCTGCTGGGAAGAATTTAGATGTCGTGTAGGAATCCACCACCTCAGGAACAGTGTTGTGATTTTCCAAGAAATAAAACTCCTTTATCATGTAGCTACACCTCCTCAGTCTGTCTGATGGGAGGAAACGGTGAGTCAGTCAGCGCAAACGGAGAATGATGCAGCATCTCTGCCAGCTTCTCCTCCTTTTAGATTATTGTGAAACGCCTGTCAGAAAGCTGCATGTGTGTGGGGGGATCTCCCGAAAATAAACACAACCTGGCACATATCTGGTTCCTACTATTTGGCACTGCTCTTATTTTTGTCGGGTATACATACATATATATATATATATAGGAAGTGCAGATAGTGCAACAAAAACACAAAGAGAGTCGCAGAGTCCAAGAGTTTGCAGACACGGCTTCGGTTTCAGATGCAACTTGAAATTTAACAGGAAGCCAAAACACACCTGTTTGTGCACATTTTCAATTTACACCTAAAACTGCACAGAAACTTGAAAATAAGATGAAGCATCATGGATGAAATGTTCTCACTCGGCTGAGGTGGAAAATTGTTGTATCAGTAAAAGAGACCATTTATGACAAAGATGCTTCTGGAGCTTCTTCTGACTGAGAAGATTGAGGTGAGCGCAGAAAAACATCTAAAGTGCTTTAAATTAAAACACATGCGTCTCTTCTGTGTTATTTTTACACATCTGCAGAGTGTCATATCGAGCCGACCTATGACTCAACACCAACTGCATCCAAAAGTCTCAAATTATAACATATTCTCATTATTTCACCAAACTGAGTCCTCCTCGAGAGTTTAAAAGACATATTTAAGTCACTATCTAAGTCACCCTGGCCTTCAGCAGCCTGAACAGTGTCTCTAGTGGTTATTTGGAGAGCTGAACCATCTGCTAGAAAACTGCAAAAACAAGGAACGTGAAGGCTGCCCTGCAAACTGCATGTGTTTTATAAGATACTGCATGTTTTTATGGTCAAAGATCAGAGTTCAGATGGGTTTAAATGTAAAGTTCATGGCCTGAATAAGCTTAGTGTGATTATTTTGATTATTTAAAGAGCAAAAAGGAAAAATCAATGAAGAATATTGATGGAAAAACAGCCTTTTAATACAACCTACATGTCCTCAAAAATAATCAATGAGTAACTCAATAAAGGGGCGGCTGTGGATCAGCGGTCGAGTCCCAGTCAGGGGGTCAATCTTAGGTAGGCGAATACTTTAGTAATTGACTATTCTACCGAATATTCCATCCATTAATCGAGTAATCAGACCAAAACGACAGACTCAGATACAGTGAGATTTCTTACATCACAAGTCCAAGCTCCGCCCCCAGAGCCCCGCTATGAAGGCCAGACTCAGAGAAGTAGAGGACGATCGAGGAACAAGCATGTGCGTTAGTGGACTGCTACTTCTACTACACCGACAATGTTAGGCTTCAAGCTAGCAAGAAGAGGAGTGTGCAGAGCAGCGCTGTCTCCGCCCACCACTCAGAGGCGAATTGCTAATGAGAAGAAAAGCCCCTCTCAACATTCATTTTTTCTGCTCCACAAAACCAAAACCGCGTTTACTCCTCCTTCTACCGTGGTGACGTAAACACGTTTTGTCACCTTGAAAATAATCCTAATCCTGCTAAAATACAGTGATATTTGAGTTTATAAACGAGAACTAGAGGCAGAGAAAATTCCTGGATCGTTTTTTGTAACCGAGGTACTCGAGGAATCGTTTCAGCCCTAATCCCAGGTCTGTCTGCATACCTCAGTGTCCTTGGGCAGGACTTGACTCCTCCTGCCTCTGCTGGCTTCACGCAGTAGTCAGACTGTAGCTGTATGTGAGCTGCTGGTTTCCTCTGAGATCCTGAAATACTTATAAATAATTCAAGTGCAGGGGGACAGTTTGCACACCTGTACAACCGGTTAGAGTGGGAGTTTCCCTCCTCTCCACACTCTCCTGTCCTCAAAACGTCATTAATGACAAAAATCACTAAACTATAAGGTTGGTTATTTTCGTTTGCTTCATGTGAACGTTGCTGTTGATAGTCTGGCTTCCATGTCAGTCCTCTGCCTGCGTCCCGCCTCTTGGGAGTAATACACTTAGGATTGACCGCTCTATTTCATACGTCCCCCCTTCGAAAACCCGGACAGTCTCTTTGGGTGTCAGCTCAATTCATTAAATGAAACATCATCCGGGGAACATGACTGTCTGTACCAAATGTTACGGCAACAACAGACAAACATTTCCCCCAGAAATAGAAATCTCGGCCTCATTGTGTTGTTGGAGGAGAAGTCTGGGGAACACAAAAGTCATTAGGATTCATTGTCTGGGAAACATGAATGTCCGTCAATCATTTTGAGCCCGTACTTTCTGTAGAATAATGAATATTTTCTGGCGTATAATTTGTTGTGACATGTATTGTGCACAGGTGGAGGGAGAGGAGGTATTCATTTTTCCTTTCTCCCTCTGGGGACAATCTCTCCTTTCAATTCAAACAAATGGGTCAGCCTTTTATTCAGGCGGAGGATTTTTACTTGCCCTGTCTGAAAGGCATGTAATACACTCTGATCAGCGCGGTGTTTCAGCAGTCAGAATTTAAAAAGCTTTCAGGATTCAGGAGTGAGAGGAGCTCATCCAAAAAAAGATAATAAATGTGGTCATTCACAGAAAAGGGAAATAACACGATCTACACAGCACATTATTTGGCACAGATCATGGCGGTAGGATTACAAGTGCTCTGAGTGAGCACGCTTACACAGACCTCAGCTGATTTCCTCTCACTTCAGTCCTCTGCTCCCCTGACACCTTCGACTTCACATCTTGGTGTTTTCAGCAGCATCCTCTCCGCTCCGCGTTTCCTCGGACGGGGGAATAAAATAAAAACAGGCCGACAAACCAGGTAACCTGCGGACAAAAAAAAACAGACAGAAACTGCACATCAAAAAGCAGCTAGCAGCAGAATTTTAAATCAGTTTACGTCAGTGTACGTTTGGCCTTGTTTCGGTCATGAAGGAAAAACTCTGCAGCGAGAAATGCTGCAGGAAACGACAAGAGAGATGAGAGCTACAGTAAGCCAACCGAGCTAATGCAAGCTAATTTTCCTGCATTAGACTTTGACATCAAATCCTCATTTTCAGATAAACAGATTATTTTGGTTTTCATGTTTTGGGACGAGGGAGATGATATCCTGAGTATTAAAGTAAACCGGTTTTCATGAAATCATCTTTTTTTTTTGTCGGTGTACCTTTTGGACCAAAGAGTCAGACATGAAATTTCAGACACTGAGGACCAGACAACCTTCAAGATAATATCGGATTTCTTCTCTTTTCCTTCACATTTGAAAGGACTTCCTCAGGTCAGGCCAGGTACAATAGTTTATCTGAAGCGGGGCGCGCGCTGAAAGATTTTCAGACCACTTTTTGGTCGCCATCACCAAAAGTCAGCAAAGGCCACATTATCAGATGGTTCTCAAGATTATCCTGACCGAAGGAGGACAGTCAGAGCCGCTTGGAGTTGAAATCCTGAGTATTACACATGTGGGACTGTTGGAGTGGCAGCAAGACAGGATGCTTGCGGTCTACTGGCGATAATTCATGTCATCCAGAGATATTAACGCTTGAGTTTGTTGAAAAATAAACTTAGATTCAGACTAATCTACCAAATTTATCAAAGCAGAGCTGGATAGATATTCTTGTTTCCTGCTGTGAACCCAGAGAGTTGTTGTCGTACCTGCGGGTTGGATCTCTGCGGCGCCTTCACACCTACAGTCAGAGGTATATAATCAAACTCTGTGTTTCTCTGTTAGTTTTGGCTGCTGTGAGGTTTAACAGACCAACTCAAGAGTGAATTCACATCCATCTGCTGATTGTGAACTGCTCAGTGAGCAGTCTCAGGATCATTCTTTGTGCTCATACTTGCTTTTCAACAACAAGCGAGTTGTGATTTTTGTCAGATCAGACAAAGAGAAGTTGTTGAATTGTGATGTGTGGAAACAGTCTTTTTGTACCTTTGCTGTTCGACAAAATTATTAGATTTGTGTTGAAATTGGGAGGAAATCCCTCAGAAAAAAATCAGTTTTTCATAACATGGTCATTTTGCTTTCTTTAGTCCTGCTGGCGTACATAATCACCTCTTCTCGAACTCTTTGTGACACTAGAGACATGGTCTGCATTACGTCCAAACTAAAGTATTTAAATAATGACTTATGTCTCAGTCTGATATTGATTTTTGAAGGTCCTGTTCAGTTTGTAAAGAAGTTATCTTGGTCATCTCAAAACAAATAAAATAGACTGTAAATTTTTAAACTATTAATTCTTCTAAGTTTGCAGCCTTCACAACAACCGTATGGCTCCATGCAAAACCTCAAAATACATCCTCTTTATGGACAACTCTTGAGTGTTTTTTGCTCTTTTTGCACGATTCCAGTCATCAATACTTCCTCAAACTAATCAAATCACCATAAATAAAGCCGAAATACCCCCTATGAGCGGGTTTGAAGCAGACAGGCACACTTATTAAAAGTCAAACAACTCTTGTTTTGAGTTTATCTTGTGCACAAAGTCCTGCAGAAACTACATTTGTAAACAGAGTTTTCAATCATCCTGTCACACTCCTGCTTTTATGGCATAAGTTACCCAAGTTTGACTAAACTTCTCAGAAAAATAAAAACTGACATTTTGATACTTGAAAAAACTCATTCTTATTCTGTATAACAGTGTTCGATAAATGACCTACAGTATATTAAGTGTGACCCATGACCAAAGTACGACTGAGGTTGATTTTAGAGTCAACTTTAAACCCAAAATCAGCCACAACAGGAGCTCTGACTGATCTGACTTTTCTTGGCCGGTGTGGGTACCAAATGTGTTTGGGCTCCCAGCGGGGCCCAGCACCTGTCGAAGACGTCACACTATATTATATTAATAAAGTTCTCTATCTATCTATCTATATGGCAAGTCCACTCGGACAAACTACTTTACGCTCCATTTAATAAGTCAAATGTGCAAAAGCCCTTTGTGGTTTTCTTTATTTCTGTTTATTAATCTAATTGACCCTGAAACTTTCTCTCCCAATAACAGAGAATTACAACTTACTGTACTGTAATTTTTAGACGGTTATAATTGTAGATGTTTACTGTTAAATGTACGCTTGATCCATATTTCCTTTGGCGCCCAAAGGCGGTAGTTCGGCTGTAGTAAGTCCCCTTTGATAAGTAGTGATAGATCGCTTTGTCCATGATTTCTCTGAAGAACTACAATCCCATGAAACCTAATCCGGTGAAAACCGCTTCTGTAATGTCCGGACCAACCACAATCTTCTACGTCATCAGAACCAACTTTCAACCAATCATAAGGGGTGACGTTATAAGTAGGCGCCAGGCCCTGAGACAATCTGGCAGCCCAAACACATTTGGTATCTACACCGTCATGTCATCCAACTACGACTCCTGTCCAAGAAAGAGAGGATGCTGAATGTTGATATAAACAATTTTTGACGGTTTACAGATATACTGTAGAGAAAAAGATAATATTTATGTTAAATTTAATGCTAGCAAAATACTCAGAAACTTAAACAACAAAAAACTAAAAGGTCAAATAATAAAAGTTCAACTTGACCAGGAACAAAACAAACTGAGGATTGGAAGAGTTTACCACTTTGTGAGAGACTGCGTGAGATAAAAGTTCAGCAATTTTAGAGTCATTTTAGACGGACTGATGTGAGCATTGATCTGTGGCCTGATGATTTAAAATATGACGTTCATTTTGGGGATCATTGATGCTGTTTCCTCTGATCTAAAGACGAGGTGGACCACCTGATGCTGGACAAAAACAGCAACATTTTCCCCCATCTAGACTTTTTTTTCAGGAGAGACCTTTAAATTCCAGCGTGACAATGCCAAACCACACTCAGCACACATTATAACAGCCTGGATTTGTAGTAGAACCGGTCTGCCTGCAGTCCCAACTCGTCACTCACTGAAAACATTTGGCCCATCATGAAATGAAAAATACGACAAAAGAGGCCCCTGAACTGTTCAGCTGCTGAAATCCTAAATCAGGCAGAAATGGGAGAGGGTTTCACTTCCAAAAACTGCAGAACCAGGTCTCCTGGGTCTTTAATGTTTGCAGAGTGGTGTTAAAAGAAGAGGGGATCCCATCAATTTGGAGATGTTTTGGAATTAAATTTAAAATGGTCGTATAATTCACATTAATCAGTGTTAAATATCTCGTCTCTGTGCTGTTTTATTTAAATATGGGTTTAGATTAAGCTCAAACCATCCCGCTCTGTTTTCATCAGCCTTTAATTCAACTTTTTGAGGAATCAGGGTTGTATTTATGTGCTCTATGATCCGTGTAGACCGCAGTGACATACTGCTGGGCTCTCTGCCCTGCTGGGGTCACTATCCATTGTTCTCGGGAAAATAGAGGAGGCACAAGCCAATGTTTTTTTCTGCTAACATATTGTTTCAGCTCCCGACCAGTCACCGTTACTGGGAGCTATGGCTTATAACTGGCTTTCTTTATATCCTCCAGTCAGACACAGATCTTGGTTTGGGAGGTTATGCAGTCTAATCATAGTCAGCGTTTAAAAATAAGAAATAAGAGTCCTCGTCGGTTCATTTAAGACGAGGTTTTAAAAGATTGATGCTTCCTGTGGTTGACAGCTCTCCTCCTACACTGGATGTGATTCTTGTGTTTAATTGGATCTAAATCTGTCCCAACAAAACGATTCAGAACCCGAGAACTCGGAGTGCAGGAACAGTGCATGTTGTGCAGAGCGTTTCTCCACAGATAAATCAGTGGGTGAGATTATCCCCGGAGCCAGGAGGAGAGGCATTTCATCAATTGGAGATCAGGACTTTGTATTGATCTCGCAGCCCATGCATGTTTGACATTACTGAAACCCCCCTGTTTTTGGTGACTCTTGGATTTCAGTCAATCCCAATTTCCATAGAGCACAGAGGTGTGAGTGCGGCGGCGCTGCGGCGGCGGCACAGCTGAGAGGTTGTGTGCTTCTGATGCTCCAGAGGTACTTTTTTCCCTTCTTTCTTCCACCCACCTGTCAAACTGTTCTCTTTTTATACAATAGGTTACCTGTATTACAAAGACTGTGTCCTCCAATGCAGAGGTTTTTCTCTCTTTATTTTTCTTTCTTTCTGAAATAACTCAGAAACCTCAAAAGATGATTTTTTTTGTCTTTATTTTTGCGAAAGTTCACCTCTGTTCCACACGTTTAGGTCCTAATTTCTAACGATTTTTTGTTCCCAACCTGATTTCTTGGTGTACAGTCAATGCAAATGTAAGAAAATCGAGCACTTTATAGAGTAAATGTAGTCCTATGTGTTAAAGCAGCTTCATTTGGAGCTTAATGCCTCCTTAAGGATGTTACAGAATCGATAACAGGAGATATACTTCCCCCTGTGGAGCGTTTTATCGGCCACCATGTATTCGAAGAGGTAATGTTTTCACTGATACATGCTGTGAATGATCTTACTCCGAACAATTAAGTTGCACAAAAACATAAATCAGGTGAGGAGGGGCGGCAGAGAGGAAAGCTGCTGATATGAGAGGAAACGGCGTTTAGTTCAATCTGCAGAGAGCTGCACGTTCACACGCCCGGCTGGAGTCATGCACGCCTCGACTTCTCTGCACAGCTTACTCACAGGCACCCACCCACACCCACACGCTGCCTGACGCTGACGCCGTAGCGGCGTTCATCAGCGCAGAGTTGTGTGAGGTGAACGGTTACGTCAAACAGCCGAAGTGAAGAAAACGAGATTTTCCTTTTATGAATAAATCCTTCATCAGGTAGAGCTTGTACGCGTTGAAGAGCGGGGCGGGTGGCGGCGGCTTTTTCCAATTGAGTGACAATTACCACCGCCGATACTGAAAAGCCACGACAAGGGCCCTAAAGCAGCCCTGAAAGCTCATGTGTCGGCAAAAGGGCTCGCTGACACCCCATCATGTTCCTGTTAATGTGCTCCAAAGATGCTGAATGGAGAGATTTTTCAGGCTCATGAATTTTCCTCCTGGTAAACTGTATTTATATTCCTGCCGGTCGCACTTGTAGAGAGGCTTCTTCCAATCACTTATGAAAGCTTCAGCAAGATTACAATAAGTGCAGCGAGGGCCGTTTTATGATGGACTTCATTTGGTCGTCCTGTTTTAAATTTTGCAGCCCTCATGAGACTTGATTGCGTCCTGAATTCAGAGGAACTATTAAAACCGGTTAAATTCTGCTCAGGGAGGTTTAGCTGCAGATTTGGAGAAAAGAAAATCCTTAACTTGAACTTCCTGACAACTCAGAATTACCTCCATTTATCACAGCTTATGTGGAGGCCAACAATCATGGGCTCCATTTACAGGAATCAATGGTGCAGGTTATCGTCCCTGGAAAACCTCGACATGGAGCCGCAGCAGCAGCAGGACTCCAGGCTCCACTCACATCATTGAACTTCTCCCTCTGTTGTAATGCAAAGTGAGGCCAGCCGGCCGCTCTGCAGAGGACTCTCATTTAGCTGCATGATGATGTTTAATGTCCCCGCAGGTAACAACAATCATCCTGAATATTTGGAGCTTTTGGAGTTTCTAAGATTTAACTCAGTTTTCACTCAGGGGTCTAAAACTGAACTAACCGACTCATTTCCTCAAACTTTTATTTATGCAACTGAATCCAGAACAAGAACTTTTTGATTCAGAGATTTAGATTTAAGCCGCATCATTATTCATGAACACATTTATGCAAATATCTTTAAGTTTATCACCAACAAAAAAATGAAAAACAACTCAGATAATTTCTGAGCCATGGAGGCGAAAAACTTCAAATCTAGACCAGATTTTTCTACAATTACAGACAAACTTTTCTAGATTCACTGATCCAGAGAGTTTGATTTTACAGCCAGATTCAGAAACTACTTTGAAAGAACATTCAGTTGGATTGACTGAAGACTGTGTCCTTGAATTTATTTTTCCTTCACCATGAAAACGTCCAAAATTTATTTCAAAAAGGAGATGCAACACATTAGTCCGACTTAGATTGGAGTAAATCGAGATCAATCGGTCTCAAACTGGATAAGTTTTCTGCGACCCAGAAGTTGAACAGCTTAACAGCGCCGTAGGAAGTCAGGCAGTGAAAAATGTTGACAGAAAAAGGACGGAACGTAAAACATCTTAAGTTTTTGTGCAGAGTGATAAAGTTCCCGGTGCATCTTTCAACAACAAAAAAACTGTCAGCCTCTTATTCACGTGTTTGTCGGTTGTTTTGGTTCATGATGCAGTAGGTCACCTTGTTAACACCCAAATAGCAACAAACTAAAACGAGACATTTTATCACCTACTCAGGAGCTCGACACGAGGACGATACTCCACTCAAATGACCTTATCGCGCTGTAACTGTACCTCAAGTTAACGGTACATTTAACAATGTAGTGCATATGCCAAGCCATTAAGTGGCGCTGTAACGCTGCACAGGAAATGCACAAAAGACAGAAGAAGAGTACAGAGCATGTTTATAAAGGTTGTTTTGGCCAGACTCACTCAGGCGCCATAAAAGAGTTACGTTGGGTGTCAGATGATCGTTTCCAGAGATGCAGATAGACATCCACACGGAGATGAAATGATCGTCGTTTACAGATTTATGCGCTCCCCGACCCGTTTTCAAAAACTACCGTCTACAGTCACCCGAAATGCTATTTCCGTGTGGATGAAACGCCGATACGACAAAAAACGTTAGCATTTACTCCTGAATTCGTTTCCGTGGTGACGGGTTGATACCGCCTTCAGACAGACTTTGCAGCGGGGAGTGGTTTACTCTTCATCAGAAACTGTGAAGTCGTACCAATTCCACAAGACTGACTTGCTCTTGTCCTATTTAGCCATGAAATTATTGCCTTCTTTTGCAAACGCCATGTTTGTTTACACTTGTGTGCAGACCTATTACAGACCTGCACACACACTCTGCTGTCCCGCCCTTCCTGCTCCACTGTAACCACCTCCACTGACACTCTAGAGGTGGGCTGAGTTTACTCCACCTCCTGAAAGTGGATCTTTGTCTCGTCACTGTTATAAACTCACATCATAGAAAAATGTTTGTGGCTTTTGTATCAAAGGTGAGACGTTACAGCAAATACAGACGCCTCCCTTTTCTCTCTGTAACAGACACTGAGATGATCGCTGACGAGTGGTGAGATGATATTTCAGGCAGAAATGAATCATCATCACTGAAAAATACAGCGTTACAAAACTGTTAACTTCATTTTTAAAAAACACAAAACACGGCATTGTGGCATTATGAGAGGAAATCCGTTTGTTTGTACCGAAGGGAAGAAACTCTTTTGTTGTCTTGCGGCGATTTTTGAGGACACTCAGCGCATCATGAATACACTTTTCACAGAGAATTCACACACCCAAAGCAAATGTTGGACAGGAAAATAAGAGCCCTTCATTTCTGTCAGAGCGGTTTCAGCCGCAGCCATTGTTTTACCGTTTCCTATTATTTTAACAGGTTGTTATGTCTGCTGTGATAGCGAACGGCTGCCCACTCGCTCATCTAGAAAAGCAGAAAGCACAGCTGCATGATCGTCCGATGAGAGTCCCCACTTCTCTTTGCTTTCTGAAATCAATCAAATATACGTCCGAGTGAAGGTAAAGCGATGTAATGATACCTCTGCTGAGCGACTTCCTACATAAACGCCTCATTAAAAAGTTCAGTGTAAGTTTAGAGCTGAAGTTGAGGTTTACAGTAGAAGAAGAAGGAGGAAGTGATTTTATGTGGTTTTACCAAAATGAGACGCCTTTACAAAAATCCTGAAAATAACCAGAATCATCCGCAGTGAGCTGATGAATATTCATGAATGCATCAGGCCAGAATTTAACCACATTTTCCGGCCAGCTCTTCCACTCTGGGTCAAAGTTCAGGTGAGAGCGGAGCAGGTGGGCGGATCACGTTTATATTATGTTGAATTAATCCAGAATATCACCATTATAGATAATGAAGACAGAGACCTTCAGTTTGTGCTGATTATTATTCACTTTTTTCCACCTTCGTTTACGATTCCAGGAGAAGTGTGTCTCAGAGGAAGACCAATAACCCCACTGAAGTAACGTCTCTCAGGAATAACTTAATTAAAAACCACTATCCTGTTTGCAGCGTCAGAGTAAGGGAGCATGCTTTGGTTCCTGTACCGACTGCAGAATCCTTGATCAAGACTGCGACAGACTGAAACCCTCTACCAAACAATACTCACAGATTTCCGAGCTCCGAGTCTGAACTTTCAACTGAGCGAAGTGGGGTCGGAGTTCTGACTCGGAAAGTCAGACAATCCACACAAGTCGACTTTTAAAAATGGTGGCGCCGGTTGTAAACAGCAAGTAGAAGTTAGCTTGAAAGAAAAATCTGCTACCTTCTGCGCCTTTGTGTTTCCTCTTCATCCACCATGGTTACAGGTTGCAAAAGGATTGCACATTTGTCCAGAAGTTGTTTATATTTAGGCAAAGGCAAGAATAACTTTCATTGGTGTAGCCATCTTGTTTACGCTTCCGTTTTTGGCCTAGGCTACTTTGGCTACGACTTTGTAACTGAACAGAAACAGGTGTGGCGTCATTCCCAGCTCTGACTTCTGACTTCTGAGGTAAATGAAATGCACCATAAGTCTGTTTAGAGCCTGCAGCTCTGTGGCTTTAGATCCATTTGATCTCCAAAGTCAACATCGTGATTTTCCCGTTTAGTTCGTCACCCTGAAGTTCGAAACTTCAGCTTCAGACTCGTCATGTCGTACACATGCAAACTATCATGGCTAAGAATGCTAACAACAACAACAGCTGGGCCACTTCCTGACTTTGACATCCATGAAAATGCAGCATTAGTCTAAGAAGTTTTGTAAAATGAATGCTATCGTAATCAATGACAATAAAAATAAAAATACTGTATATGGTAAAAGCTATCTAGTTGATTTTGCTCTAAATAAACCCCTAATCTACAAAAATATACATTTTTCTATATTTGAGAGGACATTAAGAGAGGACAGGGTCATTTTTCTGTCTGGTTTCATGCACCTGCACTGAGTAATCACACATAAACCCACAAATATCTCTGCATGTACAGGTGCATCTGACTCAGTCTCAGTGAAGACGACGAGGACGTCACGTTAAAACAAACAACAGAGCTACCTTCAAATTGCTGGTACTTAACTTTGTTCTCTCTTCCTCTCTAACCTTTACACTCCGCCTGTTTAAGCAAAGTGAAATCACAAGTTGCGTTACCTCATTATGTAAATAGCTGTCACACTGAATATTAACAAAAACAGCCTCGAGTTTCCGACGGGGGACTTCTCAGAAACACATGAATCTCGTGGAAACACAACACACCCACACAACCAGTGAACCCAAACCAGGTGCATCGATGACACTCAGGCTTAGTGACTCACAGTATGACTGCCTCTGTGTGTGTGTGTGTGTGTTTGATTGTGGGTTTCTGCAGCAGATTCGGGGTTTGTGTGTTTCCGCCCAGTGCGCGCTGGGATCAACTCCAGCCATTGGACACAGACGAGACTTACAATGAAAACAGATGTTAACTGTCACCGAGGAGGTAGTTCTGTCAAAGCAAAGTGCCTTTTCGTGTCGAGAAGCGCCGTGTGGAAAGGTAGGAGCAGAGAGATCGGTCTGTGCGGCGGCTGATTATAATTATTCTGACAAATCTGAACCCAATGTGGACAAACATGTAGATACAGCCCTGAACGGTGCGTTATGAAACACAGGTGAAAAAACACGCTGGGATAAATTATTTTGTGAGCATCATTAGGATAAGACGGCTGCAGTGAAATGGAGGCCAAATGTCTAACTCGGCTCAGATGAAAGCAGACATCTATTAACCGAGTCCATTACTTTGTGTTGTACCTTCACTGTCTCTTAAAAGTGAAACACATTCAGAGGGCACAAAGAAACATGATGCATCGCTCTCAGCTGGGCGGCTGTCGGCGGTGTTTACTTGTTGTTTACTTGTCGAAGAAAGTAGCGGCTCATGTTCTTGTCGAGATGGTGACTCTTTCTGGTTGGCTTGTGCTGAGAAACCGTATCTGATTATGCACCCTACGTCGGCCATGTTCGTGTCCTGGCACTGACAGGAAACACAGAAAAGACAGCAGGAATGAGTCTGCGGATGGTAGTCCAGTGGAGGGGCCTTTAATGCGAGGTAAAGCTCCAGTGAGGAACTTTCTGCCTGTTCCCTCTTGTGGACAAAGTTTGACAGCTATTGAGATTTAGTTAAAGTCTTTGGACAAAATGAGCTTTAACCCCTAATTTCCATCACATCTGGAACAGCTACGAAAAGGTCATATCCACCGATGACAGCTGATCATAACCATTGAAGTTAACGCTTCAATTTCCAACGGCTTCCGTTCCTCTGTGGATCGCCGGACTCTGCAGCTGATCGCAAGAGTTCTATTTTTTCCGGTTGCCGGAGCATGCCGGATAAATTCAGCACAGATTAACCCGCACTCTGTGTTTCAGGCGGATCGTGTTTCACACCATGCAAACGGGCGCGGACGAACAAGTGAAAGGTTTTTAGATGTCATTTCACCCTGATGACACCATGGGTGAGGAGATACTGATTCTAGAAGTCTAGGAGTAGATTTCCTCCTCTGGAAGGAAACAATCTACTGCTTATATGGTTAGCCTATGTGGCTATAGAGAAAACTCGTTATTGCCTGATTGCACGTGAATCCGCGACTGCTTGTGAGTTCTCATGATTCCCACTGTCCGTAATCTGCCAAAAAATTTACCTCACAAACTGATCTGGTAGGAATTGGCAGAAGGCGAAAAATCGCCGCCGTTCCTGATGCGGTGGAAATCCCGGGTTAGTTTTAGTCACATTTAAGTCATTTTTGCCTTTACTAGCCTCGGTCTACTTTTAGTCGACAAAAAATCAGATATTATAGTCTTTAAAGGCACAAGAAGAGTTTTGAAACAGACTGAAACTGACCTTCAAGAGCAAATGAGACCATCCGCAGCAAGGACGATCACTTCTCTTTAATTCTTAAAGCTTGAATCCATCAGCAGAGTTACCAACTCCTCAATAAGGAAATCCGCTAGTGGTTGTCGTAAAAGTCAGTAGAAGTCGCAAGACGACGTTATCCCTGCATAATTTCTCAGCCAAACCCACCCGTTAACATCCATAACTGCTCATGTCAGAGTCTCCAAACTTGTCGCTTTGCGCTTTTTTGAAAATAAGTGGCTAAGGGGGTCTGAAAAGTCGCTAAATTTAACAACAAAGTGACCCACCAGAGGGGTCAGTGTCAGAAAGATTATTAGCATGCTAAAGAAGCAGCTTTTTCACTTGTTTCAGTAGTTATTACTCACAGCGAGTGAAAAATTTCAGTAACAGTCAGAGGTTTTTATAGACAAGAGGTATTCCACTGTCCACAGGGGGCGCCAAAACGGACACAAACCAAAAGTTAATTTATGTACTTGAATCTCATTCACGAAATGAGAATAAAATGAATTTGTGTGTAAATTCTTCAGTGTGTTTCCATTGTTGCATGGCTAAATAAACGTTTTATTCCCACGTTCGTTTGATATAACTACAATTAAAAATGTTCAGTTCAAACTAAAGCAGTAGCCGCTCTGCTACCTCTGTACAAACACATCAAACTGTGTCTAATTAGCCTCTGTTTGCCTTTCAATGCTTCTGTGATTAAATGTCCCAAATTATGTATTAGGGTCAGTGCTGCTCTGGGGAAAATAAAGAGTGGACTCTAAAAAGTTTCTGTTATACCCGCATAAAACATTCAGCAGGAAAGCTAGCTGCATTTGTAAACAGCCCGGCTGATGTAGTGATATTGTGTCTGGAGTGAAGAAGCGCTTTTGTGAACTGTTTGGTAAAAGATGAGTCAGTTCACGTATTTTTTTTTTTTGTACTTTTCACCTTTGCTGATTATCCTGTAGCTCAGTGAGAGCCGAGACCTCCGGGCTAATTAGTCTTTCTGAAGTGATTGATATCAACGATGTCGAGACGTGCCGAATGAGTAAACCCTGAGATGACTCACGAGCCGAGATCGAGCCTTGAAGTTTTGTGGATTGTTTTTGGAGTAAAAAGATGTCAGATACTCTAGCAGAGAAAATATTTGATTTTAGTGGGTCCTTGACGGAGAAATTTGGATCATAAATATTGATTTTTTTTTCAAGAATGATTACCCCCCTAAGAGATTGTGAAGTTTCCCAGGCCTGGAAGTAGTTGGATCTGCATTTGTTTTAACCATTTAAGTCAGGCAAACACTTTTATTCCTGTGATTTTGTTTTTAAATATTTGTCAGAGTTTAATAAGACCCTGAAATAGAAAATTTGTCCGAGCACTTCATGAATATTTGATCGTTTTTATTGGCTCTGTGTTTTGAATCTATTAAAGCGAAGATGTTTGAGGCGCTCTCCTCGACGTTACGACTCTTTACGGGGTTTGAAAGGCCGCTCACACGTTACGACTCGCAGATCACAGAGGAATAATTAAGCAGAGGGATTTCAGCTGACTTCTGCTTGGAAAGTAATTTCATTTATTTTGTCGTATTTGTTTATTTGAGCGCCGGCTTTCCTGACGGTTGTGGAACAGCAGTGATCTTAAGCAAGTGTGCAGTAGTGTTGCCAGATACAGCTGATAGTTTCCAGCCCAGAAAGCTGTCCAAAAACCACTGGGAGGCTGAAGAAAAAAACATCCTAAATATATAAATAATGAAGTTTACGGTACAGCATGGATGCACACTGACGGCAGAGAAAAACTCTTTAAGCAGCAGCCAACAGGAAACAGAGATTTAACTATGAACAGACACAACTCTCAATAACTATACTGAGATATCTGAAATATGCAGGACGTGCTGCTACATCCACCTGGAACATACAGGTAAAGAACATACAACAGTTTGGTGTTAATTATAATAATAGTAACCTGTATCTCCTCTTAGTGACTGGACTCAATTAAAATGAACTTTCTTAATTTATATTCTTAAAGGTGGGGTAACCAGGATTCTGTTAATGAAGCATCTTTTTTGCGGTGTATAAACAAAAAAAGTTTTTAATGTCAGTCAATAGTTATTAGTTATTGATAACATTTGGTAATATTATGATATTGCTGTGTTCTCGTATGTCTGTGTAGATGACATTTTAAATTTTTGAGCGTCCTGCTCTTTCTGACTGTAAACAAAGCCGTTCTCCACCTCCCCAACCTGATTGGTTGTGAGGCAGACGCTGCTCCCCTGTGTCGTTCAGGAGCCCAAACAAAGTTAGCGTGCTACAATATCGGACAGTAGAAACCAACCAGAAAGTTCGGAAAATTGTCTGAATCCTCCTTTGGCCACGACTGCCGACACAAGCAAGAAAACAAAGTAAATACCGGAGACTCTGGAGGAATAACGGGCGCTTAAAACGGAGGTAGACCGGACAAGAGCTAAAAAGACGGGTCAACATAAACGATGGGGGACGCTTGGGGATCTTGGTGACCCTGTAACCTTTCTGCTGGACAGGTAAACCGCTTTAACAAAGTAAGACAAGTGTCTGTAACAGAAGTGTTTCTTGTCAAACGGACCTGCTGTAGCGTGTTGTAGCTCCATCGCTAAACTGTCCTCCCTCGGGTCCTGGACTATGTCACTTTATCCTAGTTGTAGAAGTCCTGCAAACATTGTGTTTGCTGGTAGTCTGTTGGCATCTACAGTAGCACCAATGCTTTTGACTTTCACCTTGACTGGGCCCCATTTGTAATGATCTGAAGTATTTATCTGCATTATATCTGAATTTAATTGGAACGATACGAGCGAGCAGGAGCGTCTGTTTGTGGGCGGGGCTTAAGAGAGGGAGGGGAGAGGAGGAGCTGAGGGGAAAACTGGTTGGGAGGGGTAGAGTTTACATTCAAGATTTCTCCTAAAAACTGGCACTTCCTCAGATCCTTACTACACCACCTTTAATTTACTTTAAAGCTCCTGTGAGGAACTTTTAAGTTTGTGTCATCTTTAGCGCCCCTAGTGGTCAAAGTGGTCTTTGCTTTTCTTTTCTTGAGTCATATCTTCTAACCAAAAATCTCATCTCATGCTGACTTTAGTAGTCAAAAATAAATTTCCCTGTATTTTTTTTTTTCAGTGGAAATTGTAAAACCTGTATTTTTTTTCCTCTGGCTGCTTTGTCGACACCTACCCTCTAAAAAATTAAAATGAATGGCCTTGTTTCCTTTTGAACGCCACAAAAAAATTAATATGAATTTTATTCTTTGTCATAAATGTGAGAAAAAATCATGACAGGTGCTTTAATTTAAAATACAATTAAAACCCACCTGACTCTGGAAAACCAGCCGACTCTACACAAGCCAACCCCAAACCACCCAATTAGGCAGAAAACCGCCCAGTCTGGTAACTCTGGTTTCCAGTTGGTTTATTTCGTGTCGGTTCCTCTAAAATCTCGAGTACTGCAAACAAGTTAGATATGAAATATTCATTTTTTTTATATCCAGTACATCTGTTGAAAACTGTCTGGGGACAACATCACTCAATTAAAGTTTTAGAAATCTTTAAACTGACCAGGAAACTTTTTGTTTTGATGACTCAGACGAAAAACGGGCCCCACGAGTATCTGAAATCTGTCTCAAACTAAATTATAACATTGAGAATAAAAACAACACTGAAGGAAAGTGCTACTAGACTGTGGTGAAGTGGTAATAAATCCACTTTAGATTAGACTGATATTATTTTTAGGCTTTATTTTTATTGGGTGTAATAACGACATGTTGCTCCAAACCTCCTCCTCAGCGGTATAAAGCAGCGCTTACACTTAGCTGGCTTTATTGATCATAAGTCATGAAACCCTGATTTTTAAAAAACCCTGATTTTGTCCATCATATGTTCCCTCTTGTATGAAACATTTACACCTCTATCTGTTGTGTTTCAGTGATTTAAATGTTCTGGGCGAGGGGGAGGTGGATTCAGAACTGAGAAGAGAACCATAACACCAGAATTTAGAGAGAAATGTCATTTTGTCTAACCCACACAGCTGCTGAAGGGAACATGTCCAGGCGTATTTCCCCCAAAGGATGGATCAACAGCAGTACAAAGCTGCTGTAGCCCACCACCTAAAGACATCAGGATGTATATTTTTACATATTCCCCGTGAAATTTCCTCATAAACCCAGGGGCCCGTTTTATCTAATGTGAGCAAAGGCTAAATAAGGACAGGCGGCTGGGACGGGTTTATTGTTATTGTATTTGGAATCCGCTGAAAGCAAATGTGTCTCCATCAGCTGTCATAGTTTCCCTGCTATATATAGTCACTCCAGCACTCCACACAGGGGATCATTACAGGGTCAAGCCTGCATCATTTGTCCACCGCAATGTGAACGGTTCCAGGGCTTAACAAAACACCCAGCTTCCAAATAGAGGTATTGAATGGAGAGTGCTTTTTTGTAATTAACATCTTTATACCAACACTGACTCAAAGGGCTGTTTGTAATCTGAACTAAGGCTGGACAATACACTGCTTTTGCGATATGAGCTTGCACAATAGTCACGATGGATAATGTGTAATGCCAGCCGTATGTCCTGTGAGTTTTTCCACCTGACGCTACAGTAATGCAGACTGCGTTTCGAGTGCAAATAAGCATGCAACACTGCTGCCATCACACATACTAACAGACTCATTGTATTCCCAATCACCCTGTAACGTGTTAACTCTGTGTGCTCACATACAGTCTGCAAACAAGGCCTCCTGTTAGTGTGTGCATGGTGTGTGAGATACGGGATATTTGAGTGGGTCAAATGCATGATCCAAATAATGACAATAAGTCTAGGTGCATTATTGTAATTTCATGACTATATAGAAAAAAAACTCTGCATATATCTGGTTTGAATGAATTTCTGAAATATCTTCCAAAAGTTTGCGACATCAGTTTTTTTTTTCCTGAATATTTTGCCGCCCTGTGATGAACCCAAAGTTAATTATCCCCTGACACAGCAGCTCTCCTCAGCTTTATGGTGCATTTTAGCAGCTTTCAGCTAATTGTTTTGGTTTTATGAACTGTGACTTTAAAGCTCCTTAAAGGAGCCTTTTGGCAGATTATAGAGCTGACTAAAATTAATATTGATGCCTCTCTATGACCTGTAAAACCCAGATGAAAAAACATCAGCTAAGAGACCGACTGTTTCTTTTACGGTAGTTTTTGGTGCCTGTAATCACTATCAAGTGTCAGAGTCACTCATTTATCTAGTTTGGTTTAATTTTCATCTCTTTGAGCCAAACAGCTGTGGATGTTCTGCATGTGGAGGAGCATGCCTGTGTTGCATCTGCAAATAATTAGGGGTGGGAGAAAAAATCAATACAGCAAAGTATCATGATATTTTGTCTGGTGATATATCGTATCATCTCATTTACCAAGTATTGATTTTTTCAAATTAATTGCTAATAAGAAGTAAAATTTATGATAATGGAAAAATAAAATCAACTGTTTGTTCCATCACAGTGCAGGAGGAAGTTAGTACAACAAATATATATAAGGTTTGCAAGATGTGCTACATGAAAATAAAATATAGCGTAAATAAGACAAACATAAAGGAAAGACAAATGCTAAATTAGCTAAACAGTTAAAAAAAATTGTATAAATCGCAATATATTGCATCACAATACTCACTGTATCGCAAAATGGTAAAAATCGCAATAATATCCTGGCCCACGTATCATGATAATATTGTATAGTTATCGTATCGTGGCCCAAGTATAATGAAAGTATTGTATTGTAGCCCAAGTATCATGATAATATCGTTTTGTTGCCAAAGTATTGTCATAATATCATATAGTTATTGTTTTGTGGCCCAAGTATCGTGATAATATTGTATCATTATTGTATCGTGGCCCAATTATCACAATAGTATCATATTGTTATCGAATCATGGCCCAAGTATTGTGATAGTATCATATCGATATTGAAACATGGCCAAAGTATCGTGATATAATCGTATCGTTATCTAATCATGGCCCAGGTATCATGATAATATTGTATTGTTATTGTATCGTGGCCCAAGTATCGTGATAATATTGTTTCGTGGCCCAAGTATTGTGATAGTATCTTATCATTATCGAATCATGGCCCAAGTATCGTGATAATATTGTATAGTTATCGTATCGTGGCCCAAGTATCGTGATAATATTGTATAGTTATCGTATCGTGGCCCAAGTATCGTGATAATATCGTTTAGTTATCGTATCATGGCCCAAGTATCGTGATAATTTCATTATTGTATTGCGGCCCAAGTATCATGATAATAGCGATCGTTATAGTATCGTGGCCCAAGTATCATGATAGTAATATAACGTTATCGATTCATGGCCCAAGTATCATGATAGTATCGTATCGTGGGGCCACTAGTTATTTCCACCCCTACAAATAAAACAAAAAAATGAGCTTTTTGGAGGCAAAGTAAAGGCCTGAAAACTTCTGAAAACAGTGATTATTGACATTTAGGTTGGACTGTTTTGGAATTAGATCAGTTAAGAGATAAAATTGACCCTCCAGTGTTGGTCTCTCCACAAAGGGACCGAGCTGTCCGGGCTTCCCTGTGGATAATACACTCAAAAAAAAATATACACTGCTGTTAGAGTTCCTGAGCTTAATTCACTGTGAGTGATGTGTTTGACAGTTTAAAGACGTCGGGGTTAAATTTGTTATCAGAAAACACAGAAGTGGAAAGTTCCCCACTGTAGCTTTAATGTTTGCCTCCCTGTATTCGCCTTTATCTGAGTTTAAAAGTCACAGGAGTTTGCTCAAAGCAGAAAGCATCAACAAACAAATCTCAAACGAAGGTGTATCAGCGATAAAGTCTGCCTTTTTTTCCCCGTACTGGGTTGTGTCAGATCTCGCTTATTTGGATTTGATTTGGCTCTGGATCTCGTCAGGGATGTCATGTGACTCGGTACACTGGAGGTACTCTAGTTTAAGATGTGAATATGCAAACACTTTAGAGTAAACCATCTGTCACTGATGTATCTTAGACCACCGCCTGCAGCTACACAATAGGATTTCAATCTGTTCTTAATGCTCCTCGAGTGTTTCTGCTCAAGATGCACAAAGACATAAAAGGAGTTTATGAGGAGCAGACAGTTGACAAAAGGAGCATTAGATAATCCAGCAGGGGTGTGCACAGTTTGCATCAGTGATAGCTCTGCAGAAAAGGTCAGGTGTCATCTAAATCAATGCATCTCCTGTTTGTCGCCTTGTGCATACTCAAAATATTTCACGTCGGACAAAGATAACAAACAGACATGGACGATCGCTCTCTTTCAGGAAAAGTAAAGCAGCAGATTAAACAAATCTGTATGTTTTTGTTTTATCTTTATCTGGGACACAATTGCTCTCATTTCCAGGTGCGGAATATTTGAGATAGATAAGCTGGCAAATGCTGCACAGTCTGTAGCAGCACAATTAGTTTCCAGTCTAATTGTCTCTGATACGATTATCGAAAAATCTATTGTTTCAACCCAAAATTCAATGAGGTAGATTGGCCCTGCTCGTTGTCATCCCTCCTCTCATTTTTACATCTATTCATATTTTGCAATTTTCCTTCTCTTTTTTAACTCCTTTGCTTGTTTTCTGAGAGTGCAATAAACATCTCAGAGCCCGCCGCGGCCTGGGTACACACTCGCCATCTCATTGCCCCATAAAATGAGATCTGCGCCCTTATTTGCACCAAGGTCCTGCAGCTCCATCTCTCCCACAATGAGAGAAAACGGCCACAAGGCTGGCGGATCCCGTCCATGGGCAAGAGGTTCAATTACTTCAGTTGTCATGGAGCAATAAATGACAAATTAAGTGGCTGGCACCGAACACTGCTTGAAGGAGGCTGTATCAGAATACTAATGTCAGCTGTGTGTGACAGCGGGTAAAGAGAGAGACGGCAGGAAAGGGGCAAAGTTTGGAGAAGGGAAAGCAGACAACTTTCTTATTCAGGGTGATTTATTCTCTGCGACTCGACCTCTGAGAATCATCCTGCTGGAGCCTTTGTTTCTTAAAGATAGTGCCATGATGTTTTAATTGCCATTTAAAGGACTAGCTCCTGGTTATTTATAGATATAATAAACAGATTGGTATTGTTCAATGGTGTTCATTGAGATAAAGGCCTCTGCCTTGTTTTATTCTCCCCAGCAGCCTGTGATCTTTGTTAAGGTGGACTGGAACAGGCATTGTAATCCTGTAATTAGCAGAGTATGCACACAGAATGTAGACGCCGGCTAATGAAAGTGCTCTGTAGTGCCAGGTTTAATCACATTTAAAAGGTAAAGTCCACAGCCACACAGGCAGCCCTACGAGGCTTTTATGTTCATTACACGGCGGCAAACGAAACCATCGGAGGAGGAAATGTGAAATCTTGCTCCTTTGAGACCCTAACCACTTAAAAACATTTTAGAAATATCAGCTTTTTACCTCCAAATCACTGCTTTGTCTACTCAGAGACCCGAAGACTAAACCTGTGCAGCTGGGATCCGGATTTTCGAGCTAAAAGCCACCGTCAAATACAGGTTTAAATGTTCTCATCTTGTGTAATGTGATGGTAAAACTGACTAAAGTAGGCGTGACTGAGCAAATACGGGTCCTTGATATGGAGCTGCAGTGAGACAGAGCTGTGGAGGATTGTTGACCTCCACCTACACCTCCCTCAGACGCCTCATTGCATCAGGAGGAGGAGATCCAGGGAGAAATGAATAAATTAATCCTCAACCGCAGTCGCTGCAAATATAAACAGAGTTTTTTTTTTGCCAACTGGGATCCAAACACACACCTCCTACAACGACACCCACTGCTAGCTATCACATTTAATTGAATAAATGTATGCAAACGCCTCCGAGTTCAGGATGCGTCATCAAACGCTGTGCAGAGAGAGAAAAGAGAAAGAGAGGGGTTTAGATGTAAAAAATATTAAAAACGGATTTTCAACATATATTCAGGAGCAGGATGGAACAATAAACCAGGACACAGGATTAGCTTTGGGTTATAAATTATTATTTCTTTCATTTCGTGACCAAAAATGCGCTCACAGATCTTTCCCCCCATCTAAGAAGAAACACCAAAGTGACATTTTATCACCCTTTAAAGCTGTTGTTGTCGTTTGCATCATTTTTTCTTCTTGTTTTGTTAAACGTGTTACTGCCTACCTAACAAATGCGAGTCTAGAGCCCCTTTCACACATGCCCCGCGATCCTGAGTTTGTCCTGACGTTACCCCGGGTTGGCGGCATGTGAGAACCCCAATGTCTGAATCCATCACCCGGACAGTCTTGAACCTGCCAGAGCGCGCTCAGATGTCCGTGTGAAGCCAATGTGTGAAAGCAGCAGGTAATAGTCTGGAGCATTCATCATGAGTGAGCAGGGAAGGTAAAAAGTGCTGCTCAAGTCAAGCACAGTTTGGGTCCTTTTTACTCTTTAACTTCCTGCCCTGTGGTCTGAATGTGGAGATTCACTCTGGTGAAATAGACCGAAAACACGCGGCGGCCATATTGACTTTATGTAAAAGTCTACAACCACACATTACCTCCTTAAAATGATACAAAATCGACTCTTTCTTTTAAGCCTGCTGTCAATCATCTGGTCTGACACCGCCCCCCTTACATCTGTTTAAGCATCAAAAGGGGTCAGGGTGCCCGTTTCAGTCTGTTTCCCAACCCGTTAAAAAATCCTTATCCCCAAATTCCACTGCATGTGAAACGGCGGCAAAAAGGGCCGTTGGCGCCGATCGCCGCTGATCGTATCCATTCAAGTTAATGTGTCAAATTCCACTGACTTCTTTTTCTGTCCCCTGCGGTTAAACAGGTTTCGTAGCCGATCGCCAGGTTTCTATTTTTTCTGGATGCCGCAGCATACCGCGTAAATTCAGCACAGATTAGCCCGTGCTGGAAGGGGAGTGGTTTTGCACACCATGCAAACGTGGGCGGGGACGAACATGTCAAAGGTTTTCAGACATCATTTAACCGCATTGACACCATGGATGAGGAGATGCTGATTCTGGAAGTCCAAAATAACGGAATAATCTATGACCCGTCTTATTCCCCATATACGGACAATCATAAGAAGGATATGGCGTGAGATTCCATAGCCAATCATTGTCGCGCGATTGCATGTGAATTCGTGAATTTTGTGGCAAATATCGGACAGCGGGAATCAAGAAGACTTACAAGAACCTGCAAATTCACATGCAATCGTGATCAATCTTGTGAGTCCTTGCGATTCCCGCTGTCCGAAATTCGCCACAAAATTCGCCTCACAAACACATCCGGTAGGAATTGGTGGACGGCGAAAATCGCAACCATTCTGCAGCGGTGGAATTTGGGGGTTATAGTGGCTTTAATGTTTTCCCGTCTCACTGATTCCTTCGACAACTCACTCTTGGATAAAATTAGGGTGACAATATTCTGAATCGCCGAAAAGAGGACACGACTACAGAGTCACAGAGTCGGTTGTAGTTAATTTTGAGAGTTTTTTGGGTCAAATCAAGTGTCTTTTATGCGCTTCTAAGTCAGTAAGTCCACGGGACACAAACTTGAGACTTCTATACAAAATCCCGGACATTTGACATTTGAATAACTTCTCCGGACAAAGCCGGACAGCCCCCAAAAAAGAGGACATGTCCGGGTAAAAGAGGATGTATGGTCAGCCTAATAAAATCAACTGCAAGAGGAGGAAGGGGAGTCCATTTTTTGGTATGATAAAAAGCATCTATAGAGGACTTTTATTTGATTTATCACGCTTATCTCAAAATGTGATCTTAATACATTAGTTCCTGTGTATCTAAAGTCTGGAGCAAAACCAAGAACTGAATTCCTGGAAATTTCCATGAGTTTGTGTACAAAGAGCCTAATACTCGCTCTGTTTTGGTGTTGAACCAACTTCTGGTACAACTGCGTGTCTTGTTTGAGACGTCTGTCCTCCTTATGGTGTTCAGCAGGTAGAGCACATGTCTCTCTCGGCTGAAAATATCTCCCTGCTTCAGCTGCACAAAATAAAACAGAAGTCAAACACCGAGAGCAGCTGTGTGGTATCGCAGAATTAGGTCTGGGTTCATCATTACAAGCAACAAGCATGTAGTCGCTTGATCTCCTGTCAGAGCTCCACAACATGGTTTGGTTAACATGGGGGCGTGACCCACAAATCCGCCAATCAATCATGACATCCATACTGTCACGCCACCAGCAGGTTTAGAAATAAGGGTATTAAAGCAAAGCAGGGCTGGAAGTGTCTGAGTGAATGTGATTGCTGAGCATCGTAGATTAATAGTCCGGCTTTAATCTGCTTGTTTTTATGGCCTCTTTTGTGCGACGCTAAATAATCTAACTGAACCTTTGGAACTTGTCATCAATTACATTTACGACCTCCAATCCTGCACGGCTTAAAAACAGGTGCAGTTTTGGCTTTTCCCCTAAAAAGTCCAAACACTTATCTTAAATTAGTGCAGGACCCCCTGACTCTCTGCTCTCCTTCATCATTTCACTGAATTTAAATGTATGTTACTCAGAAAAACACGGAGGTTGCTGACCTCCTCTCCCCGGTTGCCTTCATTCTCTGCACTTGTTTTTCTCAGTGATTTATTACTGTACGATCTGCAGGGAACATTGCACTGTGTTCAGCAGACAGACACTGTAACTGAGTCATGCTGCAGCAGCTTTGTCGAGATAAAGAAACGTTCGCGCCGAGAATGTGAACTTACATCCCCAAGGTGACCTCCTGGGAGATCCTGTCAGGCTTCTCAAGGTGACAGCTGAGCTGCGAAAGCACGGGGAACGTTCGGCGGGAGAATGAAGGAGGGCGTCACGTGGATGAGATTCATTCATCTTAATAAAGTTGAGCATCAAACTGATGTGGCGGCAGAGAAGGAGAAATGTAGAGAGAGACAGAGGAGAGGAGCAGGCAGGGCCAAAGGAAAGACTCCTCAACAAACACAATGTTCTTTTCCTCTGAATAGCACAGTACCCGTCTACCTGTTGGCAACCTGAGCAGAAACGCTCAATTTGTCGAACTGCTGCGAAACACATTTTAATTTGACTCCCAAATGCCTGGCAGCACAATTATTCTTTTAAGTAAAAATCTGTCCCACTTTCTCATAAATAAAAGTGTTTTGCTGACATACTATAGCACAACACCGTTTCAAAGAGTTGTCACATCACAAAGACCGGAGTGCACATTTCCTTTCAACCGTCACTGTCTCTGTGAGGTCTTTTCCCATAAGAAATGCTCTCTGCCACATGGGGAATGATGCATTTTGTGTTGGCAGCAGTTTGTTTGCAATAAATTCTGGGTAGTTAGCACACGCACTGAGCAAACAAGGGGAAAATAGCACGGCGCTGGGAGGCTCAAAGTTTTCAACTCTCGCCGAAGATACAAGAAAAAGTGACAAGTGCTCTCAAGTGAGACTCTGCAGCAGCGGTCGTTAATGGCGCTGTGATTGGTGGCCTGTGCAGAGCTTTCATACAACCAGCTCTATTTCACAAAAAAAGATGTTTTTTTTTACTGTACAAACAGTGAATCACATATCTTGATACTACAAAGCAAAAACCCTCTCAGGTGCTCGCCGTTTGCACGAGTAGAAAGACTAAAAAGCAGCGATTGCAGCCACAGGGTGTTGAGGATGCGTCATCGGTGTTTCAGAAGTAAAGGGGGCGAAGTCAGGTCAGTGCACGGTCCTGCGGGTCATGTTCTCAGATTTGCAGCTGTGCCTGCTTGTTTTTATTCCCTTGTTGCTTCTGGAGCCACAAGTCGGTGCTGAGTAGTGTGTATTCATGCATTTAGAAAGTCATGAACCGATGCATGGAGAAATAGCCGTTTTTATTGTGCTGTATCAGTAATGGTTACCTGTGGGGAGCCCTAACGCTTGTGTTGCAGTTTTGAAATTGTTAAGTGCATCAGCTACACACTTTTACAGTTTTATGGATCAACTGGGAATAAAGTAAATATTTTTATTCATAGTTTTTTTAATTAAAGCCTTGCAGAACGTCGAGTGAATGAGCTATATTTCTTAAATCATCACAGAATCAGGGACAGGAGGAGAAGCAGCTCTGAGCGGTGTCGACCCTCCTAATGGCATTAAGCGCAGGAGGAATATACTCGGTAAACAGCCTTTAGTTAGACATGCAACAGTCTCCCTAATGCAACAACAAACCAGGAAAATCAGCCGCTAACACTGCAGGACGGCGCAACAACATCAGAAAGATCTGGAGATGTGATGTGGAGACCTTTCAGCACCTGCAGGATACTTTGAGTTCACTGATTTGTTTGTGCAGAGGAAGTGGTGTTGTGGTTTTGCAGGTACTGACAGAACTATTAGTAAAACTGTTTTTATTTGACACCTTTTTTCCTAGAAGATTAAGATTCAGTGAATGACTCACAGCGCTGAGATTCACGGCCAAAGACAGCGAGGAAAGCAGGTCCGCTTCCTCTAACAATGAGGGCAGATCAGCGCTTTTATTAACTTATTCATAAAGCTTATTTAAAAAACACACACCTCCCAAACGTCTTCATTCTGCTCTCTTTAAACGAGGATACTCACGGTCAGACGGAGCTGCATCTTCCTGTGACTCACAAATACTTTAAACTTGATCCTGTAAAATCAAGACTGACCTGAACCAGCGCTGGCGTCTTTGAATCTCTGATTTTATCGACTTTGGTGGTTTTTACTTTTAGATTATTTAACCGTTCGAGGTCGCAGTGATTATTTCACCTATTTAAGTGTTCATACATGGTAATAAAATCCCATGTTTTATTCTTGATTCTTTCTAACTGCTTCCTCCCTGACCTTGATTTTATTTGCATTTGCTCTATTCATCTTGTAACCTTTAGTTTGCTGCTAATGAGATTCTCCTCAATGTGGTTTTCAGGGATTTATAGAAACTAATGATGATGATATGATGATGATGATGATGATGATGATGATGATGATAATGATGATGATGATGATGAGTATTTTTCATCGGTACTGATACAGTGCAGTAAACTCTCTCTAATTCCAGCCTTGATGGCTTTAATTGAATTCAAGGACAGTTCAGTGAAATAAGAAACAGTTTGATTTGATTGAATCGACTCAAATTAATTTCACTTGATTTGATTTCAATTTTGAAAGTTAAGATGAATCCCAGAAAGATTTTTACCAAACTAGATTTTCGATTTTCATTCAGTGACAACTTCACCAAACTCCTTTAAAAACAAAACAATTTTCTATCAAAACAAAACCACTAAAAATGATGTAGTGCATATGCCAAGCCAGTAAGTGGCGCTGTAACGCTGCCCAGATAATACACAAAAGACAGAAGAAGAGTACAGAGCGCAGGTATAAAGGTTGTTTTGGCGCCATAAAAGAGTTACGCTGTGTGTCACATGATCGTTTCAGATGCAGATAGACATCCACACGGAGATGAAATGATCGTCGTTTGCAGATTTATTCACTGTCTGACCTGTTTTCAAAAAGTACCGTTTACAGTCACCCAAAACGATGTTTCCGTACGACAAAAAACTTTAGCCTTTACTCCTGAATTTGTGTCCGTGGTGATGGGTTGATACCGTCTTCAGACAGACTTTGCAGTGGGGAGTAGTTTGGTCTTCATCTGAAACTGTGAAGTAGGGCCTGACCAATATGGATTTTTGGGGCTGATGCTGATAAATATCTACATATTTACTTGTTTTTTTAAACCAATATCTGCTTTTAAGCCTCTTAAACACTTCTTCAAATAAATTAAAGGTAGAAAACTCATTTCAAATCCTCTTTATTGCTAAAACAACCCCTGGCTATTTATTTTAACTGTAATAAAGATGATAAACTAATTCTTTTCAGCTTATTATTCAGACTGTAGCAGGTGTGAGTGAAACAGGCAGTGAAACCGAATCTTATTCTCCGCATTTTATTTCTGAAAATATCGGTGACAATCGACGAGTTTTAGCCGATTGCAGATTAGTCTCAAAATCGGTTGGGCCCTACTGTGAAGCTGTACCAATTCCACACGACTGACTCGCTCTCGTCTTATTTAGCCACGAAATTATCGCCTTCTTTTGCAAACGCCATGTTTGTTTACGCTGGTGTGTGGGAACTGGGGAGCGCTCCCGCAGGAATATCTGGTGCTAATCACACTACTGCTTGCTAATGGTAGTATTACAGCTGAGGTCTCATCATGGGGGAAAAATAAGTCCTGCAGCTGATGTCCATCCTTCATATTAAGTCCACTTGGAGATTGTAAATCGCATCAGTGGTGCGCCTCCAAACTAACTAAGCGAACTGTCAGGACGGGACGGCTACTCAAAACTCGTCATCGTTCAGAGTTTTCTAAAAAGTTTGATTTTCTCTGAAGCGTGTCAGGTGACTCCACGCTCAGGCAGAAAAGTCTTCAGATGGCTCTGCTCTCCGTTCAGAGGCAGTGATACTTCTATAGGGGATTTCAGGGATTGCATGGCTTATGAGACCATCTGTAGGGGAGCGGCACGATCGCCACCGCCGGCATCGAATTATAACAAATCCCATACGTCTTCTAGATCATTCCTATGACAGTTTGAGACCATTTAAAGAGAGCCGACGTAGTTTCATCAACATCAGTCCTTTTGTTTGACAGGAAGGAGAGTGACAGGATAATGTACGGTTCCATGAAGCGGCCAATGTATCACAGCACTGGCCTCACGCCATTCTGCCTGAGTTGTATATGATCCTTCTACGATATTCACATCTCATCACTGCAGATGAATCTGTGCCGAGCCCTGGCCCTTAATATCAACCCAATCCTCAGAGTGCAGACTGTTTCTCTGTGGAAATATCACGGGAGGCCAACAGCTGGCCGCGGTTCATCTCTTGTCGCCTCACATTTTCAGCCACATCAATATTGGACAAGTCTGTTCAAGTTCAGCGGCTGTTTGAGACTGTAGCACTTAAACAGATGGCCGTCCTCTGGCCTTCTTTCCTTTTTTTTCAGAGGAAGCAGACAAACAGAACAGGGATAAAACAAATCCTACATTTTCTCCCTGCAGTTTACCGTCTTGAGTTTTTTCGGTGTCGTTTCCTGGAGCGTGAATTCGCTCTTCACCCGGTCATAACGAGAGGAAAGCGCCTTTTTTCCTTTAACAGTAAATATCACAGCCTATTAGGAAAAATCAAAAAATGACACAGCAGATTCAATAGGATGTTGTCGACTCACTCACACGCACACACACACATGCAGTGTCCTCTCCCTCAGCATTAAGAGTTAGACGTACAGCCCATTCTTTAGAGTTATCACCATGGAAACTGGACAGAAGTGAAGAGGCTGTATTATAGTGGATGGAGCCGAGGAATGACAGCATCCTGGGTCCTGCACTGTGGCATTTACATGAAATGTTTCTGCACGCTGTATAAACTTCCTCTGGAACAAAAAAAACAAAATGGACAGACTGTTCCACTTTGACCGCCTGAGCACCACTGATCCCAGTTTAACCAGTGGTCAATAACCGGCCAGAGCAGGATGGAGAACAAATGTGACAGTGATAGCTGTGATGAAACTTCCTCAGCAGCCATATTCAGTTTTACATCAGCAGCCAAAGTAGTTTTCATGCTTCAGTCCTGAGCTCTCACACGGTTGGATTAGAGGTATTACCCAAGTCCCTTCATGCTTCAGGAAGTCGGAGCTCCTATTCTGTTCGTGTTTCAGGACGTTTAAAAGTTCTGGAGGAATCATTTGTCAAATATATTTCACCTATTATTACTCGTCACAGAGCTTGTTGGCTCTGCATCATATTATAAGGATGATGAACGTCCATAAATGTTAAGTATAATCAGCTTTAGCAGATTAATTCTCATCCAACAGAGGTTTATTAGATCTTTTGGCTCATTGTTGTCGTTTTACTGACTGTAATATTACTGTTTTGGTTGACTGGGATCATACCCATCGCTCCTTTGTGGCCCTGACATCCAGAGACGATTCAAGAGTGTGCTGGGGCCCCGAGCGAAAAGACTCAAGGGGCCCCTCTGACAAGCATTTAACATATAAATTAAGTGAAATCAACAAAAGAGGTCATAAACAGAAACTCTTTAAAAACAATTATCAATATTATGACATAACTTGAAAATTGTGCTCTAAAGTAGCTACAGCTCTGATATGTTTTTACCACAATAGGCGTCGCCTCCTCGCACTTGTTCTAAGATTTGGTGTCTGAGACTTACTTCAGTATGTTTTATGCTCCAAAGTTGATAGTCTGTCATGCAGAAAGCACTCTGTCTAAATTTAGATCGAAGTTTCAAAGCAACAATTGTTGAAGAGGTAGGCTAGTTCAGACACAACTTTCATTAAACACGTTTCACTGACAGTGAAAGCTGTTGTTTGGGTTAATCACTCCCTTACAGTATTGTAACATATAAGCGCACTTTCTCTCTGTCGGCTAACCTCGTGAGACAGTGTGGGCATGTCAGGTCACAGTAAGAGTGAGTCAATGAAGCGGTAACCCCAGGCTAACGTCTCCCGCTCTTATGCCACATTCATGGTACCTCGGGAGTAAGATGTCCGAGCTGGAAATGACATCACACCCGAGTTACCAGCGTAAGTCAGAAGAAAGCAAAATCAGAGGCAGAAGCAAGATGGCGACATCTAGGAAAGTTATTTTAGCACCTGTCATTTAAGTCATTTTAAGTTATTTTAGCATCCCCTTTCGTAGATGTAGCCATCTTGTTTCCGCCTCCGATTTTGCTTTTTTCCGGCTTGCTAACTGAAACACTGGTAACTCGGGTGTGACGTCATTCCCAGGTCGAACATCTGACTTCTAAGGTTACTCGAACGCAGCATTACACCTAATGCTAGTTAAAGTATTTGCCACACTTCGCTATCTGTTCCACTTACCGCTGTCTTGCTTTCTCCTTGTTTCTTTCTCTGTACTTCTTTCTTTTCTCACTCTCTGATAAGAAGCTCCACTTCACGACCGATTTTGACGTTACTTTGATTGATGCACATCAGTAAAGACAGACATAGTTACGTAGCAATGATCTACACCCTAGCCCTAAGATGTCGTGGAGGTTGTGGAATAGGGTTAATATATTTCAGGACATTTTTGTGGAGTAAGGTTCGTCAGCCCTTGGGGAACAGACTAGCATTCACTGTGGATGTCAACTGCCTGCCTTGCCTGTTGACAAGCTCCGGCTCTGTTGACATCCACATTGAACGCTAATTTGTGAACTGGATGTGATTGTGATCTGTGGATCACCAAAAACAGAGATATGCCATCTGTTTTGGCTGAATAAAATTAAAAGGAAGGAGTTTACTGGAATCAAACAAACATCCCAGAAACTCTAAAAGTAGATGTTTTTATCGCTGCATGTCTCTTTAATGTGGAAAACCAGGTTAGCCGTAGTTATTAAAGTAAAAGAGACGTTATGCCAGGTTGTGTTAATGGCCTGTTTTTGTACCGAACAAGTAAAAATGCTATAGTTAGTCAGACAAAACTCCTTTTACCGGTTGAAAGTTGAATATGTGTCTATATAAACAAAGATCTGAGACTTTTAGTATAATGATTCTGCATCACTTTCCTCCTCAGTCACAATCGCATCCTGCCAAATTTGCATATTTTTCTCATCCCGAGAGTTGAGCTCAAGTTACAAACCCAGAAGCAGAAGATTTCCTCTATATTTAGTATTACAGGGATAATGTAACGCAAGAACAATTCGCACTTGAATAATTACCTGCCTTATGCACACTTCAAGTATTTGTCAGAGTTTGCTTTAATTAGCAGACGGTTTGACTGTATGGTGTTGTGGCTTCCTAACAATGACTACAGAGACTGGAGAGAGGAGAGGAAAGAAACAGCAAAAAGCAGAGAAGAAGAAGAAGAAGAAGAAGCCGAGGGGAGGATTATACCGCAGCTTTTCTGAAATCAGACTGATGTAGCCCCAGAGCTGAGCTCAGGTTTATCCCAACCCCATTTCTAATCCTAACCCAACCCAGATCTGTACCGTATTTCAATTCACCAAATTAACCCCCAAACTTTTATCCTGTTTAGTTTTGTCTGAACTTTGCAGACCTGCTCCTAATAAATGAAAAAATCACTTAATTAGACGATCAGATTAGCGTATCTGTGATGTCCTTGAGTACCTGCGCGTCAGCATTTTCACCGAACTAAGATAAGGGTTCAGAAAAGACAAGGAGGGACTCTGACTGTAGACGACACTGTGTCCATAAAATATTCCTATCAAATAAAATATCACAGACTCTCCTGAAGCACTCATCCGCACGATCAATGAGCGCTCAGTTTGAACCGAGGTGACTGTATTATTATCGCATCTATTATACACTCCTCTATCCGTCTACTCCTTCATATTTTTCTGAGCTGGGTGTCCTAAATTATCTTTGATTTGCAACATTAGTTTGGTATCTCATCTGGATGAAGGAAGGCTGATAAACTCCAGAGATCCATTAGAGAGAGACGCAGATTGAAACAGGTGCGGTGAATTCCTTTATGGCTCTTTTTTTACTTTGACTTCTTCTGCCCCTCTTTGACAAATCTCTTCTCTCCTGATGAAAAAAGTAATGATTAAAATAAAGTGATTAATGATCCGCTCCAAAAAGAACACACGATGTATTGTCTTCTATTGTTTTGAGTTTGTTTCTTATTTACTGCATCCATTCCTAGAATAAAGGACAGAAAAAAATCAAATAACTACTTTTACCGAGATGATCAGTGACAGATTTGTTCTCAGTGATTTGGAAACGGTGAGAAAATGAACACACTTTAAAAATTAGGGATTAATCAAGCTTATATGATGGAAAGGAGATGCTAGTTTACACAGAAATAGGACAAAAGGCGGCTTTACAACTTCTCAGAGTCCAGTTTCTGTTTATCAAGTTGACGTCATGGGGCATTCACACCAAGTCAATGCAAAGACACGATAGATGCTCGTACTACTCTGGCGGTGCAAATTACGTGAATTGGGCGGAGCAAATTGAGCGAGTAATTTGCGTGAATTGAGCGGACGTGAATTCGCAAGACATGAAAATATCTCAACTTGAGCAGATATTTGTGTCGCGATAGCCAATCTAGGACTGGGCGATTACATGATCGTGATCGATGATCGTGATAAATTTCAGTTTGATCACGGAGATCAGCTGTGAGCATATTTACGTGATCAAACATAGCGGAAATGTGTGTGACGACAGCCAATCAGAGACAAGCTTTTCCTGCTCACTTCTGTAAGTTGCCGGAGAAGTAAACAGGAGAAGTAAACTGAATAACCGAACGTGGCGCTAAATGCGGAGCTGAGGGCAGCAAAACAGATATCAGCCATGACTTGAGTCATCCTCCAAAGATGACATAAAGTCAGTGCAGCCACCAGACCAAAGCAGCGATCAATCGTATCATCTACGTTTACATAATCTAATGTTTACATTTTAAGGTGTCTTCATTATCTCTGAGGGGCCGATTTGTTTATTCTGGGTTTCGCGTACTTGCAAAAACACTCAGGACTGTAAACTAGTTCACTGTATTATTTAGTATTTATCTACATTTTTTGTACTGTTGAGTTAAAATGGTTTTTATATTTTTATAAGTTTATCTTATTTACTTTGTATGTTAATAAAGTGTTAAACTAATCTTTGGTTTCTTTAGCTTTTAGTACAGATGCTTTAAAACTGGCAGTTTAAAAATAATCGTGATAATAATCGAGATCGTACGATATGACATAATATATCGTGATCATTTTTTTCCAAATCGCCCACGCCTAAGCCAATCAGCATGAAGATTCCCAGGTGACGTATGAAAATGGACCAGAAGATGTTCACTGGTGTGAAAGTATAAACACAAATCCTTTAACTCACAGTAGACGGATGGACAGGCGTTCTGCAGCTGGAATAGGGCGCCTGTATTTGGTATCCTGGAGGGAAATTAGCTTTGTTTTGGTTACACTTTGCAGAAATAGGAATATTGAGTCATATCTAGTCGTCAGATTCTAGATTTAAACGCCCCCTTTGCTCACCCCTCTTATCAGTGAAGTTATGGTGGCCTGAGAGGACAAAAAGTTCCTCAATGAATATCAAGTTCTAACCATCAAATATAAGTTTTTTTTTATGCACAATCACTCTCTTCTTTGTATCTCATTATTGAGAAGCAGAACCAGGAGCTGCACAAATCTCCGGTTAAATCAGGCTTTGTCGCATAATGAGGTTTTGTCACGGTCACAGCAGCCTTAAGCTCAGGTTACTCTAAAGTACATCTGTCTAATTCGGGATGTCATTGGTGAATTATGATACAGTTTCATACATTTGTCCACTAGAACAAATGCTGACATTTCTGCTCAAAAGGTCAAGACCAACCTCATCGCAGCTTAATAATGCCCCGGAGTCACACTTTTCTGGCAATTATTCTGGTCCGGTTCTTGATAGCGCGATACTTCAGGGACGGCTGGAAAAACAGACGGATTTTTAAACTTTACTTTAACTGAAAGTCGATTTTTGGGAGTCAATGTCAGTGACCTCACATTGACTGACTCTTGTGAATACAACATTTCAGAAGCTCCTGAGGGGAGTTATTTTACATCTTTGTTGTTTTCACTTTTATCAGACAGATCTAGAGGCAGTCAAGCCCATAATTGTATTTATATCCATATTTGTAAATAGTAGACAACTTTTAGAGATATATTATGTGAGACAACAGACAATTGAATTTCCCTTCGGGTATTAATGAAGTTCTTCTTATTCTTATTCTTATTTACATGGAATTACCAAAAACTGATCATCTTATAGTCGAGACAGCCTTCTAGATTCAACAAAAAATAAGCGTAAATTGGAGTCCTGGTGTTTTGTTTTGGATAATAGTTTTGTGGAACAACTGAAAGCTGAAAAATTTATTATTTCAAGTCAACCAGAGTAAAATAAAACAGTATGTGGCATTATAATGACCTAGATGTCTCAACTATTCAGCCTGAAGATTTGTTCAAATTAAAAATCTGTTAATACACTGTCACTGAATGTGTAAACACAGCGAATCTTTTGCTTTTGGCTGTTTAATCAAATAAAAAACTGAATTACTGAATGTTCACTCTCGTGCATCAAAGCTCAACCTCTGTATTAGTCTTCCAGCATCCTTGTGCATCCATGGAGTTAAAAAGGTTATTATGACTTGCAAAACAGTAACGATTAATTACGTGACAGCTGAGTGACGTTAGAGGTGAAAGTGCAGTTCTTGCTTCTTGCCAAAGGTGCCGCCAAAGAGAGCAAAACTTTAGTCTTTAGGATTTCAGCTTTAAATATCAGGTTACATGTTGTAAATTTAAAGGCCTGATACTGTGGAATTATTTTTTTATGTTTCTTTTCATGAAATTATAAAAACTGCACAAAGGACAGAAATCTTAAGACTTCAGCAGAAAGCATTTTGCAGAATCAGAGCAGCGGTTAGTCTTAGAGACTTACTGTTCCTGTGATGTTTTTTTAACATAAATTGACTATGAAGCTTAAAAAAAAATATTAAAGAAAAAACACAATGATACAATGACAGTTCCAAGTAAACAAGTATGACCTCTGGAGCAACATCTATTTGTGGTTTTTGTTCTTTTTGCAGAACTTAATGTCTATTTTGACAGGCTGCATCAGCAAATACTGTGTGTGTATGTGTGTGCACGTGCATGCGTGTGCGTGTTTGTGTGTGCAAAGAGAGAGAGGAACCGAACACTGCAGCGCTGATATCTTCCTCACTCGTGTTCAATGAGAACAAATCTGCGCATCTATCTCTCCTGGCATCCACATCTAGGTAACTTATATCTACATACATCAGGAAAGACTCTGCAGTGACTCATAAACTGTCCGTCCACTAAATAACTGTAAATCTGAGCATGCATTGCCAGCATTGATGAGCAGAAAATGGGATGAGCAGCATTAGGAGGAGATAAATCCCCACATCTGAAGGATTATGGTTATTTTGACAAATGCAAAGCGCTTTTCAAATAGAAATGTAATTACATGCTGAATATTAAAGTCAGCAAAAGATGATCTTTCTCACACATGAAGCATTAAGCTTTAACAACTTTTAGTTATTTTGCACACAGTTGTTTGTTTTTCCGTGTAATTCTCTTAACCTGATCTGTCGTCTCGTTCGTGTGATTTATTAAATTTTAACCTCATATTTACCCCGTTTCTGAACATGTACCAGTTCGTTAATGATGTGGGCAGTGATCGCGCTTCATGTCTGCTTCAGTCAACTCGTTTTTCAATTTATCAGGTCCAAGCAACAATCAGGGAAGGGGGTCTCGTGGCCATTAGCATGCCATTCAGCCTCCATGTGTGTGCAGCCTAATAGACAGCGATGATAATAGAGGCTTGTCTGTGCTCTCTCGCTGCAGCGTTGACCACTGAGTGAATTATCCAGCTGACAGAGAGCAGCAGCGCAGCTTAGGAGGCGGAGGATGTTGTTAATATGCCAATGAGAGCTCGGGCCTCCCGTGCCAGTCTGAGGCATGCTGACATGGTGCAGCTGCCTATCACATAATTGGGAATCATTTAGCTGCAGCTTGACCTACATTCAGAGCCGTGCGAAAGAGGGACCACCTATGTGAATGTTTTTATTAGCAATCCAAAGATAATCACTCGGGAGTTAGTTACAATTAATGGCTGTGTGCTGAGTTTGGATCGTCATCCTCCTCCTCTTCTTCATCTGCAGTAAAGTGCTTTAGAGAGGGTTAGCCGAGCGCTTCACAGAGGAACTGCCTTTGGTTAGAAAATAACTGAAACTGACAGAAAGTGAATTTTATATAACTGTTTTTTTACATTATTTGATTAAGGACAGAGTCAGACCTTCTCTTTTCTCTGAAAGGGACAGCTTAACATAGTTTAAAATATCCTTTAGGTTTATGTTTTGGCTGACAGTTGGATAAGTTTTAGTATCTTGTGATGAGGCTGGATTTACTGTAGGGTGAAACTGGTCGCCCAGGAGTTATCCAAAGCATCCAGACTTAAGAAATATAATAAAACTTCATGTTTCGAATCGTGATCATGTTGTGAAAACTTAAAAGAGGGAAAAACGTGTCCCTCAGTCACTGTGTAAGGAAAACACAGACGGAGGGATTCCAGTTAAAAATGAAGATCTTATAATAGCTCGTGTGTTTCTCTTTGCCTGCTGGTGCTGCAGCCAGGATGAGCTGTCAGCACCAGGTGTTTCATCTTCAGATGTTGTTGTACTTTTAGAGTCATCGCCAGTGAAGCACCTCCATATGTATGAATATCAAACCTGTTTTAAGAAACCCAAGAATCAGAGTCACCATTTTGACCACGAATGAATTGACTTGACTACAGCGCCAACCAGTGGTAGGAGGAGCTGGCGAATCCCAATTATCAGTTTTGGTCTAGTATCTTTATCAGCCTTTTATCCCACTAATAGTTAATGAAATAACACGTGTCCTACTTTGGCGTCTCTGTCAGCATGTTTTTACCTCTGAGTTTGTTTCCTCGCACCATCTCTTATCACCAAACATCCCACTCACAACATTATCCAATTGGCTAGATCTCCAATGACCAACATTTGCTTTTCGTTTTTACTGCAAATACATGTTGGTTGCAAGTGTTGATTATCGGTCTCTGTGAGTAAAAAACACAGAAACCTCATCCTAAATGACACATTTCATCTTTCATCTTTTCCTGTTGACAATGTGGCAAAAATCCTGAATAACTCTAACCACAAATATCCACTGCGTCTGGAGCAGCTAAGAAAAGGCTGTATCCGCCGATTGCAGCTGATCGTTTCCATTCAAGTTAACGTGTCAATTTCCAATGGCTTCTTTCCATTCCGCTGCGGATCAGTGGACTCCGCAGCTGATTGCATGAGTTCTATTTTTTCGGGACGCCGGAGCATGCCGGATAAATTCAGCACAGATTAACCAGACACAAAATAAAACATTCGTCTTCTTTTCAAAATAAAACACTCCATGTTTCAGGAGGATCGTATTTCACACCATGCAAACGGCGGAGACGAAAAAGTGAAAGGTTTTTAGACGTCATTTCACCGCGATGACACCATGGATGAGGAGATGCTGATTCTAGAAGCCTAGAGTTGGATTTCCTCCAATCTACTGCTTATATGTTTATGTGTCTGTCTTTATAGAGACAACTCGTTATCGCATGATTGCACGTGAATTCGCGGGTTCTGGTGAGTTCTTGCGATTCCTGATGTTCGTAATCCGCCAGGAAATTCGCCTCACAAACGTATCTGGTAGGAATTGGCGGACGGCGAAAATCACTGTTCGGGAAAGGAGTCGTTCCAGATGCTGTGGAAATTTGCTGTAGCTCCAACTCAAACCAGTTAACAGTGGAGAAAAAGATGACAGACAGTGAGGAGCTCAGGACGTTAAGTAAAAGAGACATCACTCAAACCGAAGAAAACAACTTCACTTTCCTGATACACTATTTCTGCTCTCTTTTATCCACTGTTTTAATTGTCCTTCGAGGACAAATGAAGTTTTTTAACTAAATTAATTGCCATGGAAACATTACCGAACACTGAATCTGAGAAGAATATTTTCCGGCTGCATTGGTAAATCTTTCTTGAAGTAATGAAATCCTCCCTGAATCAGAACTTGTTATCCTACTGTGTCTCATTGCTGATGTTTTTACAGCTGAAAGTTTCACTCACTCTATCTTCACTGAGGATCTTTTCCAGGGAAACTCTTTGAAGAAGCTGTTTTTGGCAGAACGCAATTTATCATTTTTTGACATTTCACCTGGCAGCAGCACAGCAGCAGCTCCGCACATTAAAAATAACTATACAGGAAAAAAATAACCTTTATGCTGATTGGCTCATTTGCATATGTAGCTGATAGAGAAGCATTAGTCATTTCAGTCAGTCTCATAATCAGCTTAAAACTCGTCACATCAGCTTTTACCCATTTTTAGTCTCTATGCAAGGCTAATTATGAAGCTAGCTAGCCGGCATGTTTGCTGTGTCATCACATTTGCTCCTTGTGGAAAAAGTCAGTGTCAAGCCCTGTACTGTAATTAATTAATTGCAATTAACACATTAGTTGTTTGTGATAATAACAAACATAAAGCTGACTTAAAACCCAATTTTTGTCAATTATCCCGACAGCGTTCAACCTCACTGTGACGCCTCGTTACCTCCAGCTGACACGTGTAGCTGAAATGTTATCATGGACTCATTTATATGTTGGACATGAACAGCTCGCTCCAGTTCTCCTGGTTGATACGTGAACGTGACTCTGGGATAAAAGAGCGTCTTAGCATAAAACCCTGCATTTGAAACCTTAGTTAAAAAGTACCAGCCAATCACAGCGCAGGAGGGCTGGATTACCCTCGATTCCTCTGGGGGTAAAAGATGCGGCCGGCGTAGCTTTGCATCCTTTCGCTTTACTCTTGGGAAGAAGGAAGGCAAATCAGGGGTTTTTAAAGCAGCTATTCCCTGTAAACATCTCTTTGAATTGATCTCCATGTCGTCAGATCTGATGTGTTTTTTAAAAGTCCGTCTCAGACCGGCGGGGAGTTGACTTATTGTGTCTACTGAAAAGTTTACAGCGCGAACCGTGGTCTGAGCTCAGAGCGGTCACTGACACAGGAACTGAATAATTTGCCACATCGCCTGAGGTGAGGATTGCACTGCTTATGTTTTGCTGAGGCTCAGACATGTACCCTCTAAACCCACCTGGGATTTCAGTCTCTGCTCCAGGTCTTCTTGATTTCTCCCCAGTTTGTCAATTAGACAGTTTTCTACCATGTTTTTAACGCTGTAGTCATTTTTATTACACCAGCTGTCAGTCATAGAAACATTTTTATGTAATCTCTAACATCTCTCTTGTTTAATTTAGTTTGTTTTATCCCAAACAAATACAACATAAAAGAAATAACTACATTAACAGCAGTTGCCTCTCGAATTTTAAACAATTAAGAAGATTGTTTTTTAATATTACCGACTCTCGACGCTGCAATCATTACTGATAAGCTGAAAGGAAAACAGTTGTCTAATGATAAACGGGGAATAGGTTGTATTAACTCGAGGTTTAAATGTATTACACGGTACAAAAGATATAAAGCAGCACCTGGAATAGATTAGCGTCCACAGGTTGGTGCAGGACGTCCATTGTTTTCTCTTCAAATTCATTTCAGATTAAATAGGATGAGCCTTAGCTTTAACAGTTAACACAAAGTGAAGACAAGATCAGGCTCATGCCAGATGCCAGCTTTATTGTGTTGGCCAGTAGCCAGTGACTCACTGAATACCGACTTACACTTGTCAAGAGGAAACAAGGCTATTCTTAGAGAGCTATTGTAATCAAGAGATTTGAATTCATTTTTTATTTACCCGGAGCTGTGTTGTACAAGGAGATTGGAAAAGACTTCCTGAGCCATTAAAGTTGAGGAAAGATGGTGATGGTGCCTCGGGCAAAAATCCGACTGTATGCTGCGTTCAGCTCTAAGCAGGCCGGCTGGCAGCCGTCCAAGCTAAGCTAGCCAATGAGTCACCTCTGCGAGAGCTCCAACCATAACAGCCAGCGTTCCCCCAATATTCCTGATTAAAGCTGAGCGCTCTCTCTACTCGGTTGGCCAAAAAGGCTTTTTATTCCTTCCTTCTTTGCAGAGACATGACACTGATCCTGTTTTAGTTTACTGCTTAAGAAAAACAGATATTTAAACTTTTTCTCATCAGTGGAGAAACTGTGAAAAAGCTGCATCTGCTGAGTGTGAATCAAACATGTTTTAAAGCCGTACAACGCTGCGTTAAACTGTGAAACTGAGAAATGAGCGAAAAAAACAACATTTATTTTCATTTAATGAGTCTAAACTGCAGAGAGACTTATGAGGAGAGCTGACATTAAGTTAATTGATTTTGTTTTATGACATTTTGTAATTTGTTTATTTCAGTAATTAGTATGAAATCTCATCCAGGGAGAGTCTGGGTGGGTTTAAAAAAATAAAAAGTGATAATCGATTGGCTAATTAAAAAGTGATAATCGATTGGCTAATTAAAAAATATTGGGATGTTGTTGGAGTTAAAACTGTGACCTTTGTGAACACAGAAAAGCTGTTTTTCAAACTGAATCAATAACACAAAGATTCATTATTTTTAAGCAGGTTGAATCTGTACTTATTATTTCAGCTGCTTTTACATCTCATATGGTTCCACTTTAGACTCATGCAGACTGGATTTATATCACAACTGAATATTCAACAACTGCTTAATTGCAAATAATGCTGACACGTTCCCCAAGGATACGTTGCTTTTAATTCTATCTAACAGAGCGCAGCATGCTAACATGCTGTAACGAAGTGGTGAACATGGCAAACATTATTCCCCACTTAACATGAGCATGCATTGGATTTGCAAAATGTCAGCAGAAGCAGTGGTTTGCCTAATGCGGCCTATTCATTCATTTAATTAAGGCCAAGGAGATTGTGCAGATGTGATTTAAGTGTATGCACGCCATGTGGATGTAAAGAGTCCACTATTTGTCCTCTCTTAAATCAAGCACCTGTTTTCAGATCCTCTAGTAAGCTTTCGAATGTATAGATGTGAATTTCTTAAACTGTGTTTTATTGTCTTCTTCTGAATCTACCTCCACCAACGCAGCCCATTGTGTTTGTTTCTGTTTGAGGGTCTGAATGCCTGCTTGGTCTTCTTAAATAGCTCACGTAGAGGTTTATAACTGAGCCAGCGCCAAATATACAGCAGACCAAGACACGATCAATACATGACATAAGATTGATTCATACTGTGGATGTGAAAATCCCACTTTCCTACACTCGCTGTTTCTTCTCGTCTTTTTTCATCTCGGTGCCGAGCGTTTAAAAGTTAGAAGTTCAATGTCACGCAGTGTCAAGAAACACCCACTGTATTCAATTAAAATGTAATGTCTGACATGGTGTCCAATTATCAGGCGTTAATGGATGGCATGCTGGCCTGAGCTCACTCACTTACTAAAGGAAATAATAATTCAACTGTTTATCTACAGTGTCATACATTTGGCATTTAAAACTTGAAGTTTCAAACAAACACGTGTGAGTTTGACTGATGCTGCCCTTAAAGAGTCAATTTATGAAGTCATAGGAACGAGAGTTTTTCACATTTTAGTGATAAACGGAGAGGTAACAACAACCAGGACACCACAGATGTCTGTAAAGTAGGGTGACCATATTCTGAATCCCCAGAAAGAGGACAGGCCTACACGGGGGTGGAGTCACAGAGTCACGGAGTCACGCATAGTTGATTTTAAGAGTTTTTCGGGTCGGATTGAGCGTATTTTACGAGCTTCTAACTCAGCAAGTCAACATGACACAAACTCAAAACTTCCAGACAAAACCTCAGACATTTGAAGGATTTTACAAACACCCAAACCCAAACTCAGGCCGGACAGACCCACAAAAAAGAGGACATGTCCGGGTAAAAGAGGACGCATTATCACCCGGCTGTATAGAAATGTTAAAATCAATGATATCTTTGTGCTGAGACGCCACCTAGAGGAAGAGAAGACTAGCTTGCAGAGTTCATGACCTAGATTAACACTTTCTAAATCAATAAGAAATTTCACAAAGAAAAATAACTTCATTTTTACTGGTTACAGTTACATTACAATGCAAAACAAGGTGTAATGCATTTAAACTCAGTTACTAACGTTTTTCAAACCAAACAACACAGAGCTTACTCCTCTTATATGAGAAAAATCATCAGACATTCATCAACATTAGTCAACAACTTAATCATGTAGAGGACAAGATGAGCAGAAACTGACCACAGGGGGCGCCAAAATCAACACAATCCAAAAGTCCCTCACAGGAGCTTTAACTGATTTCCAAAGTCAGAGTTTGCTGCTGTTGCCATGGTTACTTAAATACTGACCACATTGATTGGGATGCAGTGGATAGATGGTTTCACTAGAACTACTTAAGAGGTTCAATAGATGTCCTTTCATTAAGACTTAATCGACACCCTCCAGCCAATCAGAACCGAGTATTCACCTCCACCGTAATAGAAACTGGATTATCGCCTTTTTGGAGCTTGAGTCAGTCACATGAGGTCAAATGTATTTTCAGTTTAACTTTACAAAGGAAGGAGGCAGTGAAATAAAGTAAAGGTTGTGATACTGGGTGGTTGTTGTCTCAAACTTAACCACCAAACTTACTCGAGCGTAAAGAATCCAGATTTATGGGTGTGAATATGTGCTTTTAAACCTTCAGAATAGAAACCAATAACCGCGCGGAGTCTGTTTGATCGTTTGTAAATGAGTGTTGAATGAGTCTGCTCCTTCCTGGAGAGATGTCACATTCTTGCAGCGAAAAGTCCAAGCCGAGGTTTGAACAGGCGTGTTGCATCACTCCGTACCTCCTGGGTGAGCTGAAAAATGAGTTTGGCATTGGCACCATTCTGAACCCCTGCTATGTCATTGGGAGATGATATGGTTAAGACGTATCACGCGCAGGATGTAGTTTTCATTTCCTTGACTCCGAGAAGGTTCATTTCCAAACTGCAAATTGCGAGCAGAGACAGAAACCTTGGTGTTGATGCATTCCCGCAGACCGAACATAATGACGAAGAATGAGGAGCTACTCGAGTCGGAGTTTTTTAGAAAGTTTAAACTGATCTGCGTCGTGACGGTTAGCGGCGTGTTCTTGGTGTTGAGAGCAGAGCAGGAATAACACGGCATAGGCAGTCACTTTTGAGGTGTTTTTGACTTTTTCTCTTTTACCTCCATCCTTTAAAAATGCAGATTGAGCCACATTCCTTGTTATTACTTAAAAATCACGTCAATTTCCTTTCTCCCCGGAGGAATATTCACACTGTTTACCGTGAGGGGACCTTTGTAATAATAATAGCGGCGTTCTTTCCTCAAAGGTGTGTTTATTTGTGTATTTACAGATCTGTAGAGTCATTGAAAAAAGGCTTTTATTGTCTCAGTAACTGCAGCTCAGTTTACTTTATGGCACCTTTGGCCTTCAGTCAGCATAAACAGGCAATGAGGAAGTTAAACAGAGGAGATGTTGAAGAGACAAAGGTTGTAAGAGCTCTGCCAGCTACAACTGTGTAGCAGCGTAAACACACACACACACGCTTAAAGAGGGTAAGCGGTTCAAACATCCAGCCAACCAAATCTGTATTGACTTCCTCACTTAGATATTTGACTTTATCTGCAGGAATAATTGGAGAAAACAAGTCCACAGTGTAGCCTTTCCCCCCCTGACAATTGGAGCAGAGAACTCCCAGATCCAGACACAGCGCGCCCTCATCTACCCACCCGTCCACTTCACTCATTTAGCATTCGGAGCATTGTTTTCATGCATTTTTTCCTTTTTTTGTATCAAGTCTTCTAAAGTGGTGTGCAAAGTTCAGCTGTTGAATTAGACAAAAGAGGGTTTTCTAATAATCTCCCCATTAAAAGAGGAGAGAACACAGAGCCCTATCATTTCCAGAAAAGGAAAACATAACCTTTGGAGAGCTGCGCTTTCAGAGCACTTAAAACTGGAATACAAATACAACTCTGCATCTGATTAGTCGGGTGTTAACCCTTTTTGAGGCGAGAAGTCGTCCAAGACAACAAGGCGTTGTTTTACTTTTGGAAATTTCATTTTTAAGTTCTGTGATTAAAAGATAAAAAGCTGAGTTGGATTTAAGTTGTCTTCTTTATAAGGGCCTGTGTCCACTGATAGCTTTTTTTGGTGTCAGCATGACCTCAGTTACAGAGGACTTCCTCTAGACGTTCACTTTAGATGCACAAATAAGCCGATCTACGACCATAGCTCGATTAGGCGATTTAACTGGACATACCTTAGACTCTATATAGAATGGACGCCATCTGCCTCCTCTCTGGGTGAAGCCTCTACGAGAACAGCACCCTCAGGTGGCGGGCTGTAGTATAGGTCATAAATCCCGCCTCCTCGAACAATCCTTATGGAGCTGTGGACAAACATCGGAAATTAATGACACAGAATATAAATTTTTCTCCCCCTGGTTGTGATGTTGACATGTAGTTACTGTCAGACTGGTTTGTGCTCAAGTCCTCTTTTTTCTGTACAGCTCCATTTTTAAAAGTTATTAGGGGGTTCATGTTTTCTATGATTGACACTTGATACAGCCCACACTAGCTCACCTGGGGGATATACGGTTTTAGCTGAGCGTCATCAAAATGACTATCCCGCCAAATGCAAACAACACTAGTGAGCAAGTGTTGGTTCAAAAATCCAGAAAATACCCAGAGCAGGTGGAGCCAAGTTGTCCATAGTGTATCCAGTCTATAGGACATACTGATGAAAACATGTTTTGCAAAACTAGGAAAATTTTATCGTTTTTGCAGTCGAGGTTTTGTTTACTAGTCTGTTTCCTAGCAACACATCCATGCTATTTAATTTCCATCATGCACAGAGTACTTAGGCCAGTTCCAGTTTAATTGAGCCATATGCACACAAGAGAAAATCAACTCTTAACTGCATTACAGTGGTTATGTTGGTCCGACTGTGAGAAGTTTGATTTAGTGCATAAAAATACCCTGCAGCACTCCTGCTTCCTGTAGTGGTGACCAGTGAGTCTGTTTTGAAGTGCTAATATTTGAGTTATTTGATGAAATTTTCCAAAGGAAAGTAAAAAAAGAGAAAGAAAGTCTGCAGTAGATTCGCAGTAGCTCTAAATCTGGAAATAGTGCCAGTAAAAAAGAGTGTAAGTTTCTCCTCTGCAGGACCTCTGACATTGTTGACATAGAAGTTATAGAGGAAGGCCCGCCCCTTTTTGATTTTGATTGATGTGACGTTGATGCTGCTCTTCAAAAGAGGAACTATGTTGTTATAGAAAAGGGTTAGGGTTTATTAAAAGTCATCTTTCACTTTTAACCAGTACAGAAAAATGCTGTTCATCCATCCACAGATAAACTCGACCACTCTGCATGTGCTCTGAGAGTTTGTCGAATATAAATGTCTCAGTTTGACAAATCGTGTTGTTTTTGTGCATTACACAAAGCATGAGAGCATTCATATTTACTGAAAAAAGCATGAATAGAAAAAAGGATATCAATATCCCGAGGCCATGATGCAGCTTTGCCCGGTTTAATTGACATAATTCAGACCACACCAGCACGTAAAACTAAGAGAGGTCTTTGAATCAGCAAAGTGCTTGTAATGTAATAAGCACTCTCTCCTAAATGGAGCCTTGACTCCATTTAAAAGAGGGCAGAAAATATGTGTGCACTCTTGCTTAAGGCTTTCATCTTGCATATAAATCACTCCAGCTCAAAGTGGGTGTTTGAGCACCACAGATTTCAGGTCTTGGGGGCCCGCACTGTATCTGTGGCCAAGGCTGCATTAATGACAAAGCTGTGCCATGGCATGAAGTAAATTAAGCCAATTCCAAATTTTTCTGAAAGCAGAAAAAAAAAATGTTGAAACGGAGGCTTTCTTGGCTGATTTAAAAGGTTTACTCTTGGCTCTTATTTTCTCCTTCTTTCCATTTTCCTCTTTCTGTTTCTGCGTAGATTCCACGGCAGCTGAGTGCTCTGACGTTGTACAGGTGTGAGCAGTCGGTTTTGGATTACTGCCATGCCCACCTGTCGCTGCACCTCGATGTGGGCATGGAGCCCCCGACTCAGGCACTGGGAGGTTCAAGGCCGGCCAGGTACCACCCGGAGTTAATGGCTTCCCTCCCCTCTGAGCCTGCGCTGCCTTGCTCCCAGACCCACTCCCTCCACCAGTGAGCTGGGGACACTGTGGCTCCTAACTCCTATATGCCTGCTGCACACAATCAGCGGACCACTCAGACAAAACACAAGGCTGTGTGGGAGGAACTGGGACTGGTCAAGAAGCAAAGGAGACAATTAATCTTCTGCGGAGCATCCTGGACTGAGAGTAATGAAAATGAAAATATTCCTCCGTGGAAATAAAGGGTTGCAGCAGTATCGATTAGTGAGCTTCTCACCTACCTGACCCTCAATGTCCTCAATTAGCGAAGGAGGCTGAGCAGCAGCATGACTTTCCACGTTCTGCTCTGCCTCCTAAGGAGTATTAAGGATAATAATTTAATGATTTGTTAATCTTATTAAACATTTTTCCTCAGCTTTTCCTCATCCTGGCACCTCTCTGCTGCGTCAGGTAAAGTAATCAAATGCAAAATGCTAAGAAGAGAGCGGGGAAACAGCATGATAAGTAATTGAGTAGCAGAACAAATGAAAGATCAGCCAAGCTAAAAGGTTTTCCGCTGCTTTTTCTGATCAGGCTGTCAGTCAGAGGCCTCTCTCCAACTCCAAATCCCTGTAGCGTTTCTTCATCTTTAGAAATGAGCCGCCCAAATGAAATTACCCACGGCGACGAAGGAAACAAGACAGAAAATAACGGACATTAATTGTCGTATAAAATGTACAGCCCACACATCTCGCCGGCAGTAAGTTTAATTTACATGGTGACTTTTGATTTCCTAAATGATTTGGGATGTTTATCACATCATGATTTAATTAATGGAGCTGAGGGATAAACAGATGCAAAATAAACAGTAAGTACAGATCAGATGCGCTCGGGTTTCTGATGTTTACTTTTCATCATCCATCTCGATCATCACTCTTGTAGTTACTGGGTTTTTGTTTTACAAATGTGTTCTTCAAACAACTATCTGATTGTGCACTCATATATCTACATGTGTGTGCTTTTTACAGGATGTTACAGTATAATATATGGTAAATAAACTGTGGTAACTGACCGCTGGTGCTGGTGTCATTCCTCCAAATCAAACAGAGTCTGTATTTAGACAGCTGCGTAGGTGTCTGAGACTGAAGAAGAACACAGCCCTGAAGGCAGGACTGATTAATGATGATGTGTCTGTTTTTTTACCTTAGTGGTCCAGACTCTGATGCTGCATTTCTTCCCCCCCTCTGACTCTGTGTTCCCGTTGTTGTGACATAATACAACATCCTGGACTCACTGAAACTGGCTCCCGGACTTTTCTAGTTTAGCAGGAAAAAAAACCTTTTACAGGATGTTAATTAAGGTTCAGGATATTAATACAAAAGCTGTTACCTGTTCCTCACCCACCCGCTGTGATATAACCGAGCAAGGAGGGTTGGAAATGGACTCAAATTAAGCTAAAGTCCTCTGAGCAGAAAATACTTTAAAGTAAGAATTAATAAGTACAGCAGGACTTCTTCGTTTTATGAAGTCATTACACAACGGATGACATAAGAGCGTACAAACTGGGTTAAACTTTTAGGTATATAAAACATAAGAGTGGTGACCGTCACTAACAGCTGAGACGACCCACCTAACAGTTAAAATTTTAACCTGTATAACATACGAATATAAGCTTTGAACATGATGCTGCTTTCTGCTGTTAAAAAAATACTTTTTATTATGGGCTCCAATGAGGATGAATTGATTTTAAGAACGGGCCTCTAGTGGACATTTGAGGTACTGCCAGCAGTATCGGAGCAATTTCCAATACTGGTATCGGAATTATCGGAATCAAAACAACCCTACTTTCAAGAGGTGGGAAACAAACCTTTAATCCTCTGAATTGATTTTAAGAACTGGCCCCTAGTGGACACTTGAGGTACTGCAGTCTTGTTATACATTCCTGCACCGAGACAGTCCCAGAAAGGTTATATCGGCTTTCAAGTAGAGATGATCTGACATCATTTTTTTTCGGCCGATACCGAGTACCGATCCGACACCAGTATGTTAATAAAAATTAAAGTGCAGCCGCAATATTTTTACTTAAAAAGGGAATTTAAACAGAACAGAGCCAATGGAACTGGACCCGCCGATACCAATGCCAGTAATTTTGGTAGTATTGGAGCAATTTCTGATATCAGTATGGGAATCGGAACAACTCCACTTTCAAGAGGTGGGAAACAAACCTTTGCTCCTCTGAACCTCAAATAACTTCAAAACCTGAATCTAAAGGTCTGTTTACCCCAGATGTATCACACCTAAATCTCAGTCTGCTTACTTGTTGCTCCTGGTGGTTTTGTGTGATTTTGCGAGTCCGTCAGAGGCTCTATTTTCAGTTTCAATCTGTTTCATATCCATAAAAAAGAAAACATTCTCAATGGTAAATACATGATATTCAGCTGTGTGCACTCGAAGTTCACGCCACCCCTGCATGAGTCAGTGCCCCAGTTAGGCCAGCATGGTTTTAAAAATGTGTGGTTCTGCCCCAGTTTGCATAACTGTGACTAATGAGCTCTAAACTGAAACACAAAGAGGAACTGTTTTTCTTTTTCCTCTTCGTTCAGGTCCAGCTGGTGAGGGCGAGGAACTTTTTTGCTGTGGACGAACCCACATGACAACCTTTACCCTCAACATCCGTGTAAATATAATCTTATTTTTCATACTAAAAAAGTTTGTAATTAAAATGGAGGTCAGAGGGAGAGAAAGTTTTCAGCCAATAATTGCACCAAATGTTAATTTGGCTATCTTAATTAGCTTGCCTGTTACAGCTGAATAAAACCTTCCAGCAACAGTTGTCACTCCAGCTGGGAAGATTGAGAAATAAGACTCATTTCGGTGCGGCAGTGTTTGAAATCAAGGAGCCATTGTTTTTAACATTTGGTGAAATGTTTCTACTGTTGAAAAGTACAAGAGACTTTGAGATTTAAAGAACAGATAACATATCCAACGACAGCGACAGGATTGTGGTTCGATTGAGTTTTTTTTTTTCATATAAGAGGAATAACAAAGACAGGCAATAATCACATCTCTGATTATTTAGATGCTGCTTCCATTCAGTCGTCCTTTTAATAAAGAGGACGCATCGATTGTGTGAGTCCTCAATAACAGACGCTTGATCAACATCCCGCCCCTCAACATTGTGTTCCTCTTTAAACAGAAAAGAGCATCTAAAAAAAGGCCGAGCAGAAGATATATCTGCGTATGACAACCGGCTCTGACACATGACAGATTGCCGGAGGATTTACCGCTCTGTGGCTGCACACGCGAAACAGTTTAACGACGCTGATAGATTGCATATATACTGCGCAGGCTTCGAGTCTTCAGAGGAGGGTCTGCAGAGGATGCAGCAGAGTAATGCTCGCGCTTATTTGTTCACATGCATTTACACTAACAAGCCGATGACTCACGGCGCTTCAATCAATAACAATTTTGAGTAGATTGTGTGTCTCTACAACTTGAACCCACAAACTCGAAAGAGAAAGAAAGAAAGAAAACACTCCCACAGACTGAACGCCACGATTTAACCGTGTGACTCATGCAAACACAAAAGAAGTACAAGATATTTCAATTCCTGACTTTATTCTTTTGGGAGAAATGTTATCATCTGAGGCCTTGAAGTGACTCAACCTATACTAAGACTGAAGTGAAAGAGCCTGAAAAAAACACAGAAATACAGAAGTGTTGGCAGAAGTGGGCACACAAATTCATCACTGGCTGCTGCTGCTGCTGCTGCCTCACAGGGGAAAATCACTTTTGAAGGCCTGCTGAGGTTTTTTCTGCTTCTTGTGTGATCTCTCAGACTGTTATTTATGTTCACTTTTATCTCATATTTAATTTCCAGGTTTGAAAAGTGTCAAGGTAATGGCAGGAGAGGGTTTTTTGGTTTGTTATTCGCTTGACATTTTATCTATCCGGACAACATATCTGTCTCTGTCTGACAATGCGTTGGCACTTTCCTGGAAAGCAGACCTGAGCTATTTCCCCTCCCCGTTTGGAGCTGTCAGAGCGAGACAGACAATGTAACGCTTTATATTATGTGCAGCTTAAAATCCTCTCATCCTTCATTCTGTTCCATTGATTTCATCCGGTGATCTTATTTCTGCTGGGATTCAGGACTTCATCGAGAGGGCGCTCTGCTTTATAAGACTCATAAAAAGCACAATACACCGAAGGATAGAAAAAGTCTGAGGAGTCATGAAAGATTCTTCTTTTTATGTACTTTCTGCACTTCTTAACAATCGCCTGTGATTAAAATACAGCAAATCTGCAGACTTGTTTACTACGATTATCTAAAATCCAATAAAACAAGGCCAGATGTCCTGCTCTGGGAAGTCTAATCTACAGTCCTCTCATGGATGCAGTGTGGCTGGAATAAAAAAAAAAAAAAACAATCAAGAGGAGATACTCGAACAGATGCACGGGTCATCTTGAGGCTCCAGGTTGGCTGTATTTACCTGGAAACCTGCAGCTCTGCCTGAAAACTTCACAGCGTTTCTGATGCATTTCAATTTAAGGTCGAGCTAAAGTTTGGGTCCGTCTTGGTCCACCTGCACGTTGCTGTGTCATTTTCAAGTCGTGTTGCCTCTGCTGGCGGCCAGGGCAGCTGTGAAAGCTCTTGATTTCCCCGGAGAGCTACACTGCGGCTATGCCCACACTTTGAGATTACCTTTACCATCTCGCAAGCTCAGTATGACACTGTTGCCGCTACTTTATTTTTAAACTGTCTCCTGAATCACAAGGCAATCGACTGCTTCCCTGATACATTCCAGGGTCAAAGGTGTTGCCGCTTTTCAAAGCTCCCCGTGACTCATAACTCTGTTTGCCTCGTTTAAAGTCGCTTTAATAAGGGATCTTTCTGAGGTATTGAGCTCTTTCACTCCCACATACCGGTGCAAATCTACATTTTTACAAATTAAAACCGTTTCAGGGAAGGCAGTTATTTTCTGAGGTGATGTAAAGGGACATCCCATCTTTCCTCTCGCCGGTTTCCTCTTTTGGAGACTGAAGAAAAATGAATAAGGGTGTCGGGAGGGGGGGGCTGAATCTTAAAGGGATGGATCAGGTCTCTGGAACAGGGTTATCTGAGGTAAATGTGGCGTTCCCATTCAGAGCCCAGCTCCTCAGGAGAAAGTCTAAACACATTCAATATTCCTACAAACATAAACCATCATTACATTATCACATCAAACTGCTTCATTTCATCTTGATGGCTTTCTGCTCTGGCGTTTCTTTATGTGCCATGCTCTGAAGTAGTTCTTTTGGATTATCTGACCCCTTTTATACGGAGTGAGTCGAGCCACAGGGGGATAAACTGTCCTACTTTGTCTTTTAAAGTGATTCCTAACATTTTAACCTCATATTCTGCGATATCAGACAAATTCAGGTTCTTTTCAGGGTTTATTAAGTTAAAGTCGACTAGTTTTCTTCACTAAGGTCCATTCTGAGCTACAACTTCATCAAGAAAAATCATGTTTCAAAAATCAGCCTCTCCCTGGTGTCTACAGGTGTTTTTTTATCCATCCATAAAGAATTGCGTGTCCTTATGCTGCACTGAAGGTATCATGTGTTTCTTACAGATCTGTGGACACCTGTAACACCTATAAGTGGAAACCAGGTCTGAGCTGCTTATAAAACACTGATGCTTCCATAGGAACTGGAAAGTGCAGAAGAGGCTCTCAGCTGGAAGACCGACTGTTTCTATATAAAGTAATTAAAAGACCCACTCTGATGAAAATCATGTTTGTCTTGTCTACATGTTCATATGTTCATTTTTTCTGATGCTACAGGACATATCATGAGAAAAGTAAGTGCAAAGTTGCATTTCTGAGTATTTCTGCATGGATAGATACAGTGAGATTTCTTACATCACAAATCCAAGCTCCGCCCCCAGAGCCCCACTATGCAGGCCAGACTTGGAAAAGCAGAGAGGACGATCGCAGAACGAGTGAGTGTGTTAGTGGATTGCAATGCTGGTAAGAAAGCTAATTATGATGTTAACTTTGATCATGTCCCCAAAGACATTAGCGTCAGAG